GAAGAATATGGGATCATCCTTGCAGACACAAGGCTTATGTGTGTGTTTCTTTCCAGGCTACAGGGCTATCTGCAGAAACCATGCGCGTGGTCCTGGAGCGCTGCTATAATGACCTCCGTCTCCTGTATGTTCCAAACAAGACACTGAAAGCTGAAGGGTTCTTCAGGAGTAACAAGGTTCCTACATTTTTTCATTCTAACATGTTCTTCCATGTCTTTTGCATTTTGTTGTGCCCATCAGAAATTCTTAACACTATTAAATTTGAATTGTTTTGTGTTTTGTTTTTCATCAGGTTTTTGTAGAGAGCTCTGAGTCGACGGATCATCAGGTTGCTTTCACTGACTCACTCTTGTGGAAACTGTTGGATCGTCATGGGAATACAATCCGACTCTTGGTGTTACTGCCTGAGCAGTCTCCTGGTACCTTGGCCAACAGAACTCTTTGCCAAAAAGTAGGCGGTGACTCTGATGTGCCCTTTGATGGGTCAAAGGGTAACAGGAAATCTGTAGAGGCTATCCTTGAGGAGAGCACAGAAAAGTTAAAGAATCTCTCTCTGCAGCAGCAGCAGCAGCAGCAGCAGCAGCAGCAGGGCTCCAGCACCAGTGACAGCCAGAAAAGCTCTGACACCAGCGATTTTGAGCATATCGAATCCCCGACCCAAGAGGCTGACTCGAACTCCTCACTCTGTGTGGCTGCGGACAACAGAGAGTTGGAGAACCGGATCAGGGCCGGGGGCAGCAGCGGCGCCTCCTCTGACCCTGAGAACCACTTTGCCTGCGAGGAGCGCTCAGACTCTGAGGTGAACAATGACCGCAGCACCAGCTCAGTGGACAGCGACATCCTGAGCTCCAGCCACAGTAGTGACACACTGTGTAATGCAGACAGCGGGCCGATACAGCTCGCCAACGGCTTGGACTCACACAGCATCACAAGTAGCCGTCGCTCCAAAGCCCATGAGGGCAAAAAGGAGACTTGGGACACTGCTGAAGAAGACTCTGGAACAGACAGCGAGTATGACGACAATGGGAAGAGCAAGGCAGAGGCTCAGTACCTGTACTTCAGAACAGAGCCTTGCTCTCAGGATGACTCCACGTGGGATGCTCAAAAATGTATGAACCTTTTTTATTTAGAATTGGGTTTAAACGATTAATCATCAAATTAGTTCACATTACATTTTTAAAGTTTGTAAGCACAGTGACTATTTTCATGCGGAGCTGGATTGAGCTATTATTGACAGTAGGCTGCAAGTCTTCAGTGTTTTCTTTCCTCAAGCGGTCAGACTATCTGACAAAGGGTTTATTGTTGTTTCTTGTGATTTGCTTCAGGTTTAGTCGTTCATGTGGACAAGAGAATAACATTAGCAGCATTTAAACAGAACCTGGAGCCCTATGTGGGAGTCACCTCTACCCAGTTCAAGGTGTTTCGGGTGTACGCCAACAACCAGGAGTTTGAGAGCGTACGGCTCAATGAAACACTCTCATCATTTTCTGACGATAACAAGGTCAGGATCAATTTTACATTTGATTTGTTAAATTTGAGTAGTTTCTGTTAAGGTGAGCCAATATTTGAACTGAGACTTAACTTGGACATTTTATTTCTTCCCATAGATAACTATTCGACTAGGAAGAGCACTGAAAAAGGGTGAATACAGAGTGAAAGTGTATCAACTACTAGTGAATGAGACAGAGGTAAGGACTGAAAGACTTTTCTGTTACCGCCCTCAAGAAGATTGCAGCTGAAATAAAAACCTGACTGAGTTGCTGAACATTGTAATAACAAATATTGATAATTTATTCATGTCCCTGTTTCCCAGCCCTGCAAGTTTCTTGTGGACACAGTGTTTGCCAAGGGCATGACTGTCAGACAGTCTAAAGAGGAACTGCTCCCTCAGTTGAAAGAGCATTGCAAGCTTGACCTCAGCATTGACAGGTTAGACTTTGTTACTGCACATTTATACAAAAAAAGGGGGGGGGTGTAGGTGTTTATCATATAGTGTGTGTGTGTGTTTTCAGGGTCCGTCTCAGGAAAAAGACATGGAAGAACCCAGGCACGGTGTTCCTGGACTACCATGTGTATGAGGAAGACATCAGCATCTCCTCCAACTGGGAGGTTTTCCTGGAAGTTCTCAATGGTAACATTCTTTCTTTCAAACAAGTTATAATGGCTATTACAGGGTTTTTGTAGCTTGGGATGTGTAATTCAATAATGAGGCTGTATTGCTAAAATTTTTGCTACCGGATATAAAATGAAAGGGAATTCCAAGGTGAAAAAAATCCCCAAACAAAATGCAAAATGATCTGTTTGTTCCAGAGACTCGAGGTAATATCACAAGGTGAAATTATGGATATTGTCATTATTTTTGGAAAACCAGTAACTGCATATAAAACTAGTATTGGACTGCAGGTAAACATGTTCCAGGTGATGTTTCAGATGAAATAAACAGTTAAAGTACAACTTGATATATTGTCTGTTTGTTTCTCAGAACCAGAGAAAATGAAGTCAATGTCGCAGCTGGCTGTTCTGACCCGGAGATGGAGCCCCGCTACAATGAAGCTCGGGCCCTTCCAGGAAGTGATTTTGGAAAGCAGCAGTGTAGAAGAACTTAAGGAGAAGGTATGCGTCATCCATTTTATACAATTTATTCATCCAGAAAAACATGGAAATGATAGTGTTCTCAACCTTTTATAGTGTTCTACTAATGTTTAAGTACCATTAATTGTGATCTGTTGGTATGTCTATATTTCGTTTGCAGCTGAGTGAAATCAGCGATATTCCTCTCGAAAACCTGGAATTTGCAAAGGTAAGTGAAATGCAGTACCTCACACGAGATACTTATTTTTTTATCTTATGTTGCTTTAGTCTCCCCTCTTCTAAATGATTCCATCTTTGACTGAGAAATCCATCCGTTTGCTCTTTGCAGGGTAGAGGAACATTTCCCTGTGATATTTCTGTGTTGGAGATCCATCAGGATTTGGACTGGAACCCTAAGGTGTCAACTCTTAACGTGTGGCCTCTGTACATCTGTGACGATGGAGCTGTGGTCTTCTACAGGTAAAATAGCTCCCATGTTTGCTCCCATGAACCCATGTTTGGTTATATAAGAAGCATTCAGTTGTTGTGATAACGATGTAAATAAGACTTAAGACTGCACCATATTCCAGTCACCCTGCAAAAGACAGATGAAGATGGATTGAGTATTTTTTACTCAGCACATACACGAAGCAGACACACAAAAACACAGGCCTTTAGTATTTTAAGTTTTAAATTTAGTTTCTCTGATTTTTGTCTGTGCAGGAACAGCACAGAGGAACCTATGGAGCTTTCAGAGGATGAGCGCAACGAGCTGATGAAGAAGGAGAGCAGCCGTCTGCTCAAGACCGGACACCGTGTCAGCTACTCGCCACGGAAGGAGAAGGCCCTCAAGATCTACCTAGACGGAGGCCCTGCCAAGGACCCGGGGCAGGACTGAGGCACAGACCACTGCTCTCGGTTATCTGGATCGTCTGGCTGCTGCAGCAGAGCAACCAGGCTACAGGCCTCTAGTCTGAGTGTCAGGCCAGACAGTAACTTGAACATCAAGCAGCGTTGTGAGGCTGACGTGCTCTCACCCTCCACTCTGAGCCCCAGGACTGGTTCAGAAACCCTATTGTGCACTATAGTGTATTGTACTGTAAAGTTTAAAGGGAAGTACAAAAGCTATTCAATACAGATAAAAAAAGAATCAAATACTGTATAGACAAATCAATTGAACGTTAAAGCTCCAGAGATGCAGAGATGTTAGGACTGTGAAACCAGGCTGGAAGGCATCCATCCCGTCTATTTAAGTCTCTCGTCTCCTTTCCCATCGCTGCGTGTTTCTCTTCCTGTTTCAAGAATGGCGTTGATTCTGATTAATCTGTGACCATCTTGTAAGTCCATATGCTCACACTTTATGAGCATTGCTGTTAGAGAAATCATTGTTATCGTGCATCACTCACCTTCCTTTTTAAATACTTAAAAACCAACAGCACATACAACCAATAACTCCTTATCCAGCCTTCCTCAGTCTCACCTCTTCTGGTGAGGCCAACCTCACTCTCTCAGTGACTTTGACAAGTTGAGACGTCATTCATTCACAAGATTTGATGAATTAAGAAAAAGCAACAATTAAAGAAATTGTACTCTGGAGGTTGTTTCTGCTCCTCTGATGCTCCTATAAATGCCAGAGTAATGTGTTGTCATGGGTCGCCCTTACCGCTGTTTCTTTGTGCTTTATAGGAGCTTTACCTCTTTTACATCACTTCTACTAGATATAGTGATACATGGGCTATTGGTCCTTTAATACAAAGTACAATGAAACAAAACCAAGTAGACTATGTTAAGAATCTCCTTGTTTTGTTTTTGTTTGTTGTAAATTATTATTTTGCCCCGGACTTAATCGTTCAATTAGGTCGTGTGAGGCACCAGGCACACATCTGTTGTCTGTATTAACCTTTAATTTAGAAAGTGGATTTCTTTGTTGTTATTTTTTTTTTTTTTTTGCACCATGTGGGTTGGGTGTACATCTCTAGTGTCATCCGCGCTGTGTGTGTGTGTATGTGTGTTGTGTTGTACTGAGGGGAGGGGGCTCTCTCTGGGTTTTTGGCAGAGAGCGTGAGGTTGTTTATTTGACGCTTCTACCTGCTGCTGCTGCTTGATAGACTGGCACCAAAGGGTGTAGAAAGCCCGCTGGACTTCGCAGTCTGCCCCGGGCAACTGGTCTGAGGACTGAAGTTCAGCATCCCAGCCCCTCTGGGCTCCTGATGCTGCCACCAGCTATTCACTGTAGAAATGCCAATATCTGAAGAAAATCTTTTTTTTTTGTTGTTGATGTTTATTTCTTTGAGATTTAAATCCTGTGTGAAAATAGTTTATGATGATTTTAGAAATTAATTAAAATGCTTTTTTTCATAACTGATGTCACTGTTAATTAAAATGGCTTAAATTAACTCACAAATCATCATATTCACCTTTTTAATTAGTTATGTGTTTTAAAAAAAAAACTTTTATTTTTCTAAAAGCAAGAGTTGTACAAGCTGCGTGTCAGGTTTCAAGTGCTTAAGAACAGTGCAGAGCTTATATTTGACAGTTTTAGCTGTATGCAAGTTAACATCCAGCACCAGTATATTGCTATATTCACACATAGATCAGGTATTGCTTGCATTAGTATTACAGCCTAGATGTTGATGTAAACACACTGCTGTACATGAAAGACACAGAGCACAAGCAAGCAATATGAGGTGTTTACAGGCCTTTTTCATAGCAGATATTTTGATATGTTACAGTAGGAAAAGCACAACTGCTTTGTTCTATACAAGTGTCCCAGTAAGCTATGACAGTAAGCAGCATGCACAATACCAGGACCCTGAAACTGAAGCAGCTAAATGGAATTCATCCATAAATCATTTTATTATTTAAACCTGTGCTTTTTCTACAGTGAGATATCCAAATGTCTTCCCATTTTTTCCCCTGATGGTCTCTTGTTCACACATTATCATTTTGATTAGTACACAGAAGTTGCTGACAGGTGATTTCCATTAGAGCGCCACCTGCCCAGAGGACTAATCAGCCAAGATATTACATCTGTATCAGTGTGCAGGGCCTTTTAAAATGTGTGAAAGATGCACACAATCAAGAGACACGTATTATGATTTAAGGTTCACAGGAGGGTAGTTGTAGGAAATGGAGGAAAAAATACCAGCATAAAAATAAAATAATTGTTGGTGAAATGACACAATTTATTTTATTAGGTACACCTGCACAATCTAAGGCCATCCAGTTGCTTTATAACCAATCCTGTCTTTGTGATTCTTGTAATGGTGACTTTGAGTACAGAATATTAGAAACACCCATAAATACACCAGTGCCTCACATTAGATTGTGTAAGTGTACCTAATAAAGTTGGGGTATGCATTGTGCTACACTTCAGCTCAGTGGACCAAAACGTAGAGCATTATTACAATTTAAGCTTGCACCTAACTTTGCAATATAGAGAGTAGTAATTTAAGACCCCTTTTTGCTCTATACCATTCAGCTGACTGTCTGCAAGATTTGTCTCAATGGCCAGCAATTACTGTCCTGTAACTGTGAAAGATCTGAACTGACCTTGACACAAATGTGACCTGAAGTCACTGACATCCATCAGATAACCATCAAATGTATCAAAACAGGTTATAGTAATTCACAATCAACCTGAAGGCAGTCAAATAAGTTACTGTTTTGGTCGTATATTGGTTATTTTCTGGTCTGTTAATAATGGATATGAGATACTACTTGAACAGTGGACAGTTGAAATAAAGTAATACATATTAAGTATGTATATAAAAGAGGAGAAAAACACATAATAAATACATATCCATACAAACAGTGTAGACAGAATAAATAACAACATGGCATGTTGGACAGTGTTTCCTCTTGTCGTGTCATTTTGGCAAAAACAAACCGTACCTCTTTGGAACAAAGCAACATGAGGATCTTGACATTGCTAGGAAGCAGCAAGCGGCAAGGTTTGCCAAATATTTTCTCAGGAACAATGAGGAAGAGTGCACTTTAGGATATTGAAGCAGCTAGAATTAGATTTGCTCTTAAGCAATATGAGCAATTGTTGTAGTCGTTGGCTATTTACATGTTCACATAAACCATTACCAGATTAAGAAGAAACACACCTGTTCTGCTGACATGTCATGGTAGTGTTGACGTCCTGTAGATGAATATAAATGTGTAATTTATTCAATTCCAAACATTTATTATAGCCTGCTTCTGTGACACTGTTTTATACAGTACACAGAGAATGATTGTATCTGGTTTCTTTTTGTTCCTAGTGCACAGTAAATGCAGTGAGACTGCATACTGGGTGGCTCAGAGTTAACTTTGCTCTATCTTGTTCTCACAATTTTAAACAGTGAGGTGAGAAGTTACTGTGTTAATTGTATGGCTGGGATTAGCATTAGATAAGGATTAGTTACAGTACAATATATAGAGCAAATATTCAAGAAACCAGTGTTTAGTATCAACACAGCAGATATAGTGTTTCCTGCTTCTGTTAGTGACTTATATCGACAGTTTCAGAAACACTGATTGTAAACCTCAGGTCTCAATTAAAGCAAATAAAATAAATATATTTTAATACATTTTCCATGCTTTTGCCACGTTGGATTGAGCTGGCAAACAGAAAGTGCTATACTACTAGTACTAGTAGATTCTTTGCAACAAACCTCAGGTGTCGGTGGAGACCACTGTCTATTTGTTCAGAAGGCAATATGAATTAATTCAGATTATATAGTCTATCTCTGAGTATAGTGTGTCTGTCAAGTCCTCTTCACTCGAGTCTTCTCCTTTGAGGCACATGGACCCTCGCCTGTCAAATAAATGCATGTAAAACTTTAATATCTTGGATTTATTTGAATAAAATCATTCAAGTTTTAAGACATTCTGTGCTATCAAATGTGCTGCACTCACCCCAGGTGCTGGCAGTGGAGATCTCCTGCACAGGGGCAGTATTTTGTGGGTCCCTCGTTCTGTGTGTCCCAGGACAACAGCTCTACCAGGTGGTTGGAGGCACCAAAGCAGCGCTCGCGCTCAATGGGCTTGGCCGAGCAGACAGGGAAGAGCAGGGCTGAACACACACAAAAAAAACAACAACACAGATACATTTCCTGAGAGGATGCAAAGAATCGCTGAGCAGCATATACTGCACTGTGTGCTCGTACTGTACCTTTATGGAACGCGCAGCAGAGGTCTGGGTTGCAGTCAGTCTGGTATTGACAAGTGCTGCCAGCCTCTCCTTTTGTTGCATTTTGACTGCACTGACCCCATACACACAGCTGTTCACCACAGCACTCCTCATCCTTAGTGCAGGACTGGAACAGAAAAAAATGTCTTTCATTGAAAACATATCTCAGCAAGCATCTAACATTTCAGCAGACATCTTTCATCTAATCCAGATATTTTGTGTAACGCTAATGTCACAAAAATGAGAACACCGCATGCAGTTCAAAGAGGCTAAAACTCACCAGGGCATTAATGACATTAATGATTCTGCTGATGCTTTTTTGGTTAAATATAAATGAGATGAGCGGGTCAACTGGTTTCTGATAGCGTTCCTATTCCTAAATACCCTCTATGAATTGTTAATTTGGGGATACAGCAAAGAGTGTTCTGGTTATTTCCATGCAGAGTTTTTCAGTGCAGCACTTTTGACAAGACACAGATCCTGTCCTCTGTGTATTTATTATGCCTGTAGTGTACACTGTACCCTTGTTTGGCAGACAGCCAGTATCTCTATCCTTTTGCGTTGCTTTTAACTCTGCTACACCAAGGCTAATTCATCCAGTGATGACACAGAACCAGCAGTAATAACAGTCTTTAATAAATCCAATGGATGAGTCTCTACAGAGAAGGCTCTCATTACTAATATTCTTTTTGTTCTAAATGTCCTTTGAGTGAGAAGAAGGAAAAGAAGAGCTCTTATTTAACCTTGACACTTGCTGTTGTTTCATGTGAAGCTCATAGGACAGTGTGTCCACAAACAACACACTCCAATTACACTTGTGGACACACTGCAATGCAGTCGAAGTGAAACCCCAGCTGCCTGGAAGTGACTGTGTGTGTTTGAAAGTGACTGTCTGATAAAAAAAGAGCCAAAAACAGTGCAGGTGCTCATATAAAGGTAACTTGGGTTCACTTACCATATCGATTGCTTTGCAATGCAGACACTTGGCGTTGTGCATATCATAAAGGCAATACCTTCCCTTTCCACAGTCCTCATCAGTCATACATCCCTAAAGAGAAGAGAAGGGAAGAATTACGTCAGGGTGCTTCAATCTTTTCTAGCTCCATGGATTAGTCCAAACATTCTCAGGGCACCAGCAACCAGAGAGCTGATCTGCATATCATGTGACCCCACATTCAAGTCCCATGGTAGAGAAACTCTGGATTTAATACACATTCAGGTCACAGTGTTTTGTCCAGAGTGCAAAATGAAGAACTAAATAAATGTAGCTTTTAGCTTGCATATGCTTGCAGCTAAATAGGTAGGGAAAAAAGTCCTGTAACATATTTATGAAGAAAGAGGCGCCTCCTCCAGTTTTATTTTTACCTCTTGTAACTAGGACAGACTCTTTTCCCAGAGTTACCATGTAAACAACTATTGACCTCTTCTTACAATATACCGAAGGTGATGATCCACATCATGATAATTTAGATAAATATATCAACTGTGCTGTAACACTCTCAGCCAAATAATTGAAGTTATCAGAAAACAATATTTCTAAAGTCGTGGTGTTGCATAAGAACTGCTTCTGTTAGATGTTTTAACCCTGAAAGTGAGTTTCAGTTATAAGAAGCAAAAGGACAAAGCACACGTCATCACTTATTTATCAACAATTTTGTACAGTCATCATTTTGATAAATGCACTTGAGCTGCATGTCAGCATCTTTTATTTTCAACTTTAAATTCACACATGGTGCAGGTAAATAAAGATTAGAGCTAAATGAAGACATGCATGCACGCTGTACATCCTACATACATTGTTTCATTCATTCCTAGACGTTACGCAAGTGGCCAGTGGCTGTGATGCTTCTACCAGACATTATGCAATCTTGAGGCCTTTTCGTGTTGAGAGATTCAAACAAAGGTCATATGAAAAACAAGAGTTCTATTTTAAAGATTGATTTTCTTACTGGACTGTGTATCATTTAAGGCTGCACTTACATGATCAATATTGTTCCCCAGGTCACTTGACTGGATGGCTGTGGTAATGTTGTTTGTCTCCTGTGTGAACGTGGAACATCTGTTAAGTTTCATTCACAAAAAGAAAACACATTTAGAGACTTTTGCTGACTGTTAATAAACCTACCTGGTCTACTGAGGTGTGGACAGATTCACTGTCAATCACTTTATCAGAAGCAGTTTCATTGTGATGACTTGGAGGAAGGTTATTGGGATGAGGGCTGAGACTGACGCTCTCGTTGTTCCTCTAGAGGGATTGGAGACATTATCAGAGCTAGATTTCAGGTAAAAAGATGCATTAAGAAGTCTCTACCATATTCTAGCTCCTTCCACTGCTGCCTCAGCCTCTAAGCTACATCTATCTACAAATTGAAGTGTTTTCTACTTTTAAAAAAAATCCTCTAAATACCAGCCAATAACTTGTACCAAAAACTGTTTCCAGCAGTCGATAACGCCATGTCATGTAAAAAACCAAGATGCTGACTGAGAGGTGCAACTGGCTGCCTACTTGGTGAAACGCATCCTCGGGCTTTCGCTGCGGATCCTCGGGCAGTTGCTCCACTTCCACAAACATGCGGTCCAGCTCCGTTTGTCCCTGCTGGACGGAATTATCCTCCAGGATGTGACTGATGCCCGAGTCCACTATCTCAGGGAGGATGCCATTGCAGACTGCTGCGAGAGCCAAAACTAACGGGACGACTCGCATCATGCTGCTGGTCCTGCTGCTGCTGCTGCTGCTGTGAGGAGGGTGTGGCGAGGATGCTGAGGAGCACAAACAGCGTCACCACAGCGGATGAGTCTCCGTCAGTGAGGGGGGTCATCATGGCCTCGTACATGTTAATCCCTTCTAACACCCCCTAAACAAGTGAAACCTTGCCCACATTAGCCGGTTTCAGCCATCGAAACACTCGCTCCTGAATGGCTCGTAGGTGTTGACGAACTTGATCAGGACACCTCAAACAGTTCCGGTCAAGTAGCTTTTTTCCCCCCCTTTCTTTTTTAAAATTATTTTTGGGTTATTTTTTTTGCAAAAGTAAACCACACGTGGACAGACATAAATCATACATTTTTTAAAATAAATTATACAAGGTTATTAATTTTTAAAATTATTTTTACCTTTTTACATCAGGTAACCATAGTAACAGTATTTTTTTGGCTTCGTGGTAGTAGCATAGCAAACTAACGTTAGTATTAAAAAGCAATCTTCAAAAAGTCAACCATCCTGTCGGTAGTCAGTAGGTTAGCCTAAATCAGATTATATGTTATATAAAGAGTATTGTCCAACTTACTTTATCCTCTACAAGTCCTATCCTAACGCTAATTCAAATTCAGCTTCATATAACTAACGTTAAGCTAACTGAGCTAGCTGTTGATGGAGGACCGACACTGTGAGTGATGGATGATAACTTAGATAGTCAGATGTTTATAACCATATTTGAGCAGTTTTCATTGGAACAATTCTCAGGCAAGGAAACAGTAACTGTACTGACAGTTTGCTGTTGAAAATAAAACTCCATGTATCTCCATTTGACAAATTAAACCACAAACCATTCGTCATTGTTCAGGAGAGCAGTTTCCCACAGCTTCATAACTTGGGCCAACCAATACTTCAGACCTGTAGTTTCATAGTCTGGACACAAGATGGCGCCATTCGCTTCCATAGGAATTTCATGGACGCAGACTCCAGATACCAAATTACTCTATCTGTGTGGGTTCACGTTGTCAGTGTTTGTTCAGTGCTTTTGTCCATGTGCTGCGTAGGCTGCGCTTTCTGCTGACACTTTGTAAAATATATAATGTGTTGACTAACTGCGGTCCGGGGACGTATGGCGCCAGGTGGTCTCATGCTAAATGAGGAACACCTGACAACTCAAAGTATTGTATCAGAATGATGTTCCCTTCTTCACATTTGCTTTTGAGCTATACCTATCTTCATAATCTGTACATTTAAGTAGGTTTATACCTTTTCGATTTTTTAGTATTTAATTATCCAGCTCCAGTTTTGTAACATTTGCAGTCCACACATATTGAATTAAACCCCATAAATCCAATCTGTTGTTTAATTAGCAGCTTCTTCCTGAGGGGCTGAAACTCGCAGACTTATCAGAAGACCGTGGGTGGTCGGTTAAGTCGTGAACTATGTGTTTGGCATGAGAAAGTCTGGATCCTCTGGATTAAACAGCCGCCACAGTAGCTGCTCAGGGATGTGTCCGACTTTTAGAGCACCGCCCTCAAACACTGGACTCAGCTGTAAGGAGAAACTGCTGCTTGTCAGGCTGACTGAGCACCGACACACCTCACACACAAAGTCCAGGACCGTGTTTGACCGGAGACACTGGAAGGAGGAAGAGTTTGGATTGGCTTGAGATATGAGGTAGGGTTTTATTTATTTAGTTAGTTATACATCATGTAGTTTTTTTTGTCTTTCCCAAACAAGTGAGTGGTGTGAGTGTGAGACACCTGACAGAGCTGCTGTTTTCCTTATTTTATAAAAGGAAAAAAATGCCATTAGTAAGTAACAAGGGCTGTACTGGGCAACCACACAAAGTTATATTAAAAGTTCTAGCACAGGGAATGAAACACAGGCGATCACCAAGCAGCCCACGGATCAGTGTATGAACTCTAAACTAACACTGGCCACTAGTATCAATTACGTTGATTGTGAGATAATTGTGATTTGTTATTCTGCCATTTGGCTGTAGGCGAGGTGTCATTGTTTCTGGTGAGTTTGGAGGTTTATGAACACGTGTTTTATTGTGAAAGCGGTGATTGAACTGTGTCTGAGAGAGCAGTCAGACATCTGGGCTTGTCTCTGCTCCCTGATAACAAAAAAAAAAAAAAAAAGGTTATCTCCACTTGAACAGCATGCATGCAATTGTTGTTATGCCAATGATTATGCCATAGAAATATTTTGAGTGCCAGTGTAGTTGCTTTTCATACATGCCTCAAGGCAAACTCATTCAAAACTGGACTCATAGCTTTTCTGTAAGTTCAAAGACAGTAAAAACAGATCAATGTAGGATATACATCCCTCACCAAGGCCACCATGAACTAAAAGCGGTCCTGTCAGTACAAGTTAATGGAATCTGCATGGTTGTTTTTAATGCTTTTCAGCCTTTCTCAGGACTGACTCTACCTGCTCGGGGCTGTAAATAGCACTCAAGCCTGTCTTTAGGGGTTGTAGTGACACTGACTAATAAAAAAAGGTGTGGTGTTGACAGGCTCTACTGTCAGGTTATGGAATGAAGCTCAGTGAGTGACAGAAACTGCCTGTAAATGTTTTCTAGTGGGGTTAATATGCAGCTACTGATCAAATACACAGACTTTTAACCTGCGATAAACACTGGATTCCAGATGAAGCGGGAAAAAACAGTCGGTCTCAAAAAAGTTTTCATAAAAAAAATACTACATAATTAATCTGTGAGGCTTTATAATTTATGCAGCAGTGCTAATCTGCTTCTCTCTCTTCCACGTTTCAACATACCGCATGAGTACTCAGTCTGGTATGATTCATTCATCTTGTGAGATGATGCATGGTTCTTTCAGCAACATTTTTAAGGAGGGTCAGTAGAGTCATACAAACAGTGCTATTTCTCCTTCCCACTGCTGTATGAGCAATCATTTCCTGTGTACTATACAGCTGTGGAAGATACCTTTTCTCCATCAAGATCCAAACTTTATTACAGAGAGCCTCTGCCAGTGAACGTGCTAACATGTAAACAGTGTTCATACATATAGTATCTGGTCTCTAGCCCAGACGCTGATGGTCAGTGTGATTTATGCTCATGGAGATCAACAACCTTCTTTGTGCATAAACATTCAACTGCAAACCACATTATTCTCCTCTTGCTGGAATTTTCCTCTCAGTAAGGCTTTTTTTTAATTCATGTATGTGCTATAATATAAAATATAAGGGAAGTCACAGTAAACAGTGTATTGCTCGATAGGATAAGTAGACTTTTTGAGAATGCTTTACTAAACAGTGTGTTTTTTTCCCCAAATAGCTGCAAGGCTTATGTGTTCTGAACATGCTCCATAATTACAGGTTTAACTCTGAATCATGTTCTTCTCCTTTCAACAAATACAGTTGCCTTAGAGCTAAGAGAATATACAAACATCACGAGTGTACAAGGCTGTATATTACAGCTGTGTGAACGAATGTAACTAATGTCTCCTGTGTAACACAAAGAGAAACCGGTGTAACAAACCCAGTGCAGCAAACAAATTCAGTTGACATTTACATACAAACTTCCACATTTTTCAAACTGTCCTTTGACTGTCGCTGGGTTAGTCGCTTACGACTGCAAATTCTTGTGCCAGCCTTTCATTTTAAGTTTGTAATTACCAGCTTCACTGGAGTTTAACTTAACAACAGTGTGTGGAGATAAAAACAGCGTTACAGAAAGCTGCACAGGTCCCCTTAATTATGCAGCCAAACAGGGGCCTACAGTAGGATGATGCTCACGAAAAATCTAAAAATGGATGTTGACTACCTCGTCTTTTACATATCTTCTTGACTGTAGATAACACACCAAATCATTACAGACTCTGCTCCTATAAGTCTGTGCTGCATTTGACATTAGCTGTGTGACATATGTAAGACTATTCACCTGTAAGATGCACGGTTATAGCTTCTTGTATACATGTAAAGATATAATCAGTACTAAGAAATGTGACACATATACATATTTAACATTTTAGTTTAAGAAGCAACAAATATTGTATTTAAAGAGATAGATAGATAAGTATATAGATCAAACAATTAAAAGGAAATATTAATGAATTAATGTCCTAGTGAATGAATGAGCGAATCAGTTAATAAATCAGAGTAATAACGATATGTGGGGACGTCATGTTGTGGATGAAAACAATGTAAATGTATTTCACGAAGCCCGATGAACTGACTGTGAATGGAAGCTTGTACTCAATATTGCCAGGGAGGTGTTATAAACTTTCTCCTTCCTCTCTGCAATATGTTTCCTTCCTTGTTCCACAGCATAAAAACGGATGCGTCCAGGCATCAGCCACAAAAAACAGAGAGAGGAACTTTGAGAGAAAGGTGGGGCATGTTGTTCCCTGTGGCCTGTTAGTCTGTAATCAAACAAAACCTTTGCTGCTCTATCAAAAAAACAACGTTATTTCTGCTTTTGTAAAAGCTGTTGCCATATTGCAAGATATGTTGGGACATATCACATCTTAACCAATAGCACACTGAAAGATGGAGCCACCAAAGGAGGTACAAGGAGACTTTGCTGTGGTAAATTCACCACAGGATGTCATTAACACGTTCCATCTGGCAAATGGAAACCTATCTTAGTCATGCTTTAGAATCACAGAGGTGGAATTTTACAGAGGCTGCTCTCCTCTGAGCTTTGATCTGGACAGGAAACCAGACGCACTCCACAGGAAGAGTGTGGATGGGAGTGCTGCAGCACTCAGAGCTTTTTGAAATGTAAAATAGGGCATCATATCGCTTTCCCAGTGCATCAGCATGATTCAGTGAACTACCAAAAACGCTCCAGATGTCCAAACATTGTCCTGTAGTTTTGTGAGAATCCTTAGTCTGTGTTGCTACCAGCTCCTGTTTAACACAGAGCACTTGATTGTCATTGAGTTGAACTTTGTACATTTATGTGCCTGAGGTTGTCTTGTTTACAGTTCCTCTTGTTTACAGGTTCTTGCCCTGTTGATATCTTTTCAGATCATGTGCTGTTTTCTCATGCAACATGATGCTTGTCTATTTTGAGCCTAGCTTTACTGATAGTTGGCTTACAGAATCTGCTATTCCTGCTAGGCTGTCATTTAAACCTTCACTGTGCCCCCCTGTGATATTATGAATGAAAAGTTGCTCCCAGATCTTTGACCCTCAGTGCCAGTCAGTTTACAGTTTGTCTTGTGGTATATATATATATTTACTACATTTTTGACGATTACGGGCACCCATATTCAGTAATTTGTAATGTTCTAATGGAGATGTGAGTAAGTTTTCTTTGTTATTCATTTTTCTTCAGCCGACTAATTCATTGTAACACATGAGAATGCGTAGTTAGAGTCAGAATAATTGTTCAAGATCACTGTGTCCAGATAAATCTTCATCCAAAGGAGCCATGTGGTGAGCACACCTCGAGGGCCAGACAGCCCTGAAGCTTCACAAGCCTGCTCCTGTTTGTATAAATTCACAGTTTTCTCCTCTGAAGTTGACTGACATTTACCGCCTTCTGCCAGTGTTTCTACCTTGCTCACGACAGATCTTCTTTTGTTTTGGCACTGCTGCCCGAACACGCAGCCAGATTTCAGAGAGTTGAGATAATACTGTGGAGCTCTGGGGCCTGGTGAAGGGCAGAGCCGGCGGGCTGAAGTCCACATTAGTGCACTGTTTTCTGAGGCACACTGCCTGCTTATCAGGCCTACAGAGGGTTACTTCCTGATTTTCTTCAGTCCAGTTTGTAATTACTGTTGCTGGCTGGCTACACTACAGTATGTGCATTTCCCAGCACTCCCATTGTTTTCCTTGTGTTGTCAGCTTCCTATTGTATTCTGATAGCCTGAAGCTATGTGCTGTGCAGAAACAAATGAAGACATTGCGTCACTGGTTTGACACTTGGTTCAGTGTCTTTACAGCTTTGTCAGTGTCAGAGCTATACTTTATGTTTTAAATGAGACCAGCTAATGCAAGTAGCTCTGGCAAGCACATGGTCACTTTTCGGGTGTCATATACTGTAAATGTAGTACATGAATTATTTTGGGATAAAAATGACAAATTAATGTAAGTGTATTAATGTGCTACTAAAAATTTACAATTTACTTCTGTTTTAGTATTTTTGCTAAAATCCACCGTGTCACAGCTGTTTCAGGACGTTATTTAGCTTTAAAAAAAAGTGAAACTATATATTTCTGACCTATTTTTAAAGATTTCAGTCTTAAAGAGAAAGGATGTGGCTTGCGGGCTGAGTGGCGCAGAGAGGGTTAGGAAGTTAGAAAGTAACACATTGTTGGTTTTGTATGGGATTTGTTGACAATATGAGAAATGTAAAATTATGCCAGCTTTGTCCTTTGAGACTTCACTCAGCTGTTGCTTGTCTGGCCATCCATGTTGTAGACTACAAATTATGAGTCACATTAGTCTATAAAAGTGAAACTGTGAACTATTTAATGGAACCTGTGTGTGTTTTATGGGAATGTGGTTGGATATATCTATGTGTGTAAAAGCGTGCATATTTTTACTTTTCTTTCTTATTACCGTGCAGGTGTAACAGGTACATTTTTCACATTCCTAAAATTCCCCCTCTATCATACTGGACACTGATAGCTTGCTATGTCTCTCAGACACACAGCAGTGCTTTTATATTATGTATATTATGTATATATGTATATTGTGTGTGTATATATATGTAAATGCTTATATACACTCAATCACAGATCCATCATACAGTCCTTTCTCTTTGTGTCACTGTACAGTAAAGTAATGATATAAAAATGGTAAAATTATATATAAAGTATCAGAAGATGGAAGTGCTTGAATAAACTAGTAAACCGCTAATATCAATGTATAAATTCCTCATTGTATAAAGAAATGAATCACTGTCCTTCATTTTCTCAATTAGCTGCAGGCAGTTTCACTCAATCAGATCATTTTCTAAACAGACAGGACACTTAAAACCTGCGCGCCATTAAACTCTCTGATCCTCTTAAGCATTATATTCAGCTGTGATGTCTAGTGTGTGTGCGCATGTGTATTCTTTCCGCTTCGTCTGTCATTAGTTGTATTTTTACAGCCGTTCTGTGGGTTTGTTCTGTCTCCCCACAAGTGACTTTCCATTCTGTCAGACTGAGATGGTGAAGTCATGGGACTCTGTCTGAGACAATGTAGTTTGAGTGTTGAGCATTGACTTGGCTATGAAGACAGTAAGTGGTACCTTTTCATTAGTCCTCGCAGACTCGTACAACAGATGGTTCCAATAATGGTGCCTTTCCTTACCACTTTATTTGGACTGAATTGTGAAAGCATAAGTGCAGTCAACATGTCTTTATGTGAACTTTCCACCAGAGGCACGAGAGATTATTGAACATGGTCCAAAGTTTTGAATAAAATGATGTCAACATAAAATTATTATTAGCTGTTCTTGTGGAAAGACAGCCACAATCAGCAGTTATGAAAATGGAAGTTCGCCTCGGTAAGATAGTTATCCATTTTGTAATTATTTGTCAAAAATGTACATCTCACAATCTCGAACAAACTAACTTTAAACTCAACTGTCAAAAGAAATAACTCCACAGAGGCTTTATAGAAGATATTATGTAGGCCCCAAACACTCCACATACCACATGGTAGAATACACAGCAATTTTCCCATCACAGTCTGCTGCCATGCATGAAAGATTAAAGCACCTGCATCATATATCATGCCAGTCTCAGTCATCGCTCATCACTCATTGACAATCAGAGAGCAAATTCCCCAAAAAACTATAGAGGTGGTCCTATGACTACTTGGCTGATGGAGCCAGTGAGAGGGCTAGCAGTGTGTTGGACTCATGCTGATGGAGCAGGTCAGAGCTCTTGTAGCCACGTGGCAAAGGAATGTCAGCTCACCGAGTTTGAGGCTGGATGTCTGCTGTGAAAGGCTTCAGGGGGCCACAGTATCTACAAACAGGACAGGGGCTTTTTGAAGCTACAAATTTGTATTAAGCGAGCTAAGGGTCACCTGAGACTGTACAGTATTTCTTTGGGCTGGTTAGCTGTTCCTTTCTCTTCCTGAATCTTTCTCTGTAATGTTAAACAAAAACAGCAGCATCAAAACAGGATGCAAACACACAGCCAAACAGGATCTCGTGCAAATTAATATGCTAATTTTAGCAGAGGAACAAGTGCTGGTCCTTTTTGCGAGTGACATTCAAAATGTCACCACATTCAAATCACAGTCAAAAACAACGTTGTGATCCAGGACTGAATGGTCATTGAGTGACTAACTTTGCATGTGGCTAAAGCTCTTCATGGACAGTTTCATGGCACAGCCACGTCACCAACAGAGACCCTGGGGCGGTGTCTGACAGTGGCTGTTATTGCAGTCAACAGTTCAGTCAGGTCTTGGGGACATCGTAGCATCAGTCAATGGACTAAATGTGGTGGAAAGGTGAAATCTGCGCCTACAGATAAAATGATATCTGACCTGTGACGTAATCAGTGAGGTAAAACAACAGGCTAGTACGTACTCTACTGATGGTGGATTACTGTAGGGGTGCGTTTGCTAGCCCAACCTCTCCTCTAACCTAGCCCATCCCGCTCCATAGGACATTAAAATATCAAAGGCAGACTTCTCCCAAAACTCAGAATCTGTGGTCCCCACCCAAGTGAACACACACATCCTTAATGCAGAAAATTTCCCCATTTTGCTTTGATGTTGAGCTCTGGCACAGATTTTCTGGCATGATTTTTCAAAATGCTTGATGGTTGATTGCAGGAAAAAGAAAACTACATTGTTTTTAATTCTGTCGGTCCTGTTCTATTCTGATATGAACTTGTGTTTTAGTAACTGTGTTTTTCACACGCAGGCCCATATGTAAGCATACTGAATGCACATACCTCAGCAGAAGGTGGACTATTAAGCATGCATACCCAATCCAAGCCAATCAATCGTTAGTGTGGGCTTGAATTACAATTAGTTTCAAAGACCTTTCTTTTTACTGCTGAAAACATTGTCTGGTTTTCAGCTGGAATGAAAAATACCACAAGATAAATAAATCATCATTGGTCAGTGCTGCACCAGAGGAATGAAAGGTGCTCAACAGAAATAAACAGTGTTTCTTTGAATTGCAGTAACAGAGAAACCAATTTTTTCTCATGTTGGAGATGGTATATACAATAGAAATGTTATTTATGTAGGACTGCAACATGTACAAATGTCATCAAGAAAGCTCAGCTGTTTGTTAGTAAAGACTCAACAGTGGTGAGTCAATATGTATGTATATTGTATGTAGCATTTAACAGATGTAGCGTGTATGTTGTTGATACCATTAAGAAGGTTTGTTCTTCTATTATGGAGAACGTCATATTATAAAAAAATATTGCCTATAATCCATGACTCTACTACAAAAACTGAAGCCCAATGAATATCTGATCTTTTAACAACACAGTTTAACTTTGATTATTTGTCCATGGTGGATACCTCATGTTGAAGTTTCAATAGTTTTGTTCTGTGTAAGGCTATCACTGAACCTTGAAGCTGTTGAAACATTTGGTTCTAGGTTGAACCAGTAAGTCCAACCTAGAACCACAAACAGTTCCTTTTATAGGCTCAAATGGTTATGCCTCTATAAAGCACATGTAGTAAATACACTCTACGGCTGTCTGACGACGACAGACGGGCTCATTTCATTTTAACTCTCCAGTTTTTATCTCACTGCCTTGTCTCTGCTTGGAATGTTATCTCGTCAACGTGGATGTAAGCTAAGTTAACTGTTTCAAAATGTATGTCGACTCTAAATGAAGACTGGTACTGAGCGCCCTCTTGATAAGTCGGTAATGTAAGCTGGAGTCATAGAGCAGATAAAATGCAGCTGGGTTGTCAACTCAGCTTAAATTATTTCAACATTTAAATCATATAAACCATTGAATGTAATGAAACATGTCCAATATTATTAAGCTAATGATAGAATATGGAAAAACCAGTTGCTCAAGGCCATCTGTGTGAGATGTTTTGCCATGAGATGACATCAGACTGTGTCTTGCCTTCTCAGACTGGGCATGACGGCACGGGCCAAGCTGAGGGTGTAGCCACATCTGGCAGAGAGCGCTGGAGTAAGCAGGAGTCTCAGTACACCAAATCATCCACTGCAGCGGGGGAAGATGGGAGAAACAGAGGAGGAGAGGGATAATGTGGGGAAGCTGTTTGAGAACTTTGTCCAGGCCTCGACCTGTAAAGGAGCCCTTCAGGCCTACAACGTCCTTTGCAGAAAGCTGGACCTCGACCCGGCGGACAACGGCACCTTCTACAGCAGTCTGAAGGCGAAGGTCACCACCTGGAAGGCTAAAGCACTATGGAGTAAGCTAGACAAGAGGATGTCCCATAAGGAGTACAAGAAAGGCCAGTCCTGTGTGGGCACCAAGGTAAATTTATTCATATGTTTTGTTCAAAAGTTTACTAATCCAAGGCTGATGCAGATGGAGATTAGGAATTGACAGAGAGCAATGCATGTGAACTGAAACACAATAGAAACTGTTTTACAGGCTTTGCCCATTAAAAGATGTTTATTTCTTTGTTATTTTGGCAAAATATATTATACATTTTTAGACGAATTTCCCACTTTGCCATTTTTTCCCCCATTGCATTTATACATTTTAAAAAAAAAACATTGAAATATCATTGGGCTTAGCTCATACATCGTTAAAGTTGATGTTTTATGGTTTAGGAACTGCCTTTGTGACTTAATCAATCTGCTCTATGTTTTTTCTCCTTTTTAAAATGCACTATAGTATACCATAACTAAGTAAGTGTCATGGTTATCACTTTACCCTCTACCTTTAAAGATACAGCCTATCAACTACACTCACTCTTTCATAGCAACAGCTGCCAACATACAGGACAGGAAATTAAAGAGATATACATTGCTTTTCACTAACTCTTTTGCTCTCAGTAGGTGCTGCATTACAAAGCTGTACAGAACTACATACATCATGTAACAGTATCTCATAGACAAATGCATTGTTAAACCTTCAGTGTACCCACCATATGTTAAAATTGTAACAGTTACAGTAAAAATGCTATACAATCACAGCCAAGAAACATACACACAACAAGCAACAGATGTGCATATAATCAAATGAAACACAGAATTTCATAAATACAAAAAAAATCTTTGACACTTATGCACTGCTTCATCTAACCCTGCAGCAAAATAACACAAAAACAGCCAATCACATTCAGAGAACAAATTACAGACAAAGAGGACATTCTATAAACACATGTAAGAAGAGAGCCACAGAAGAGCTATTCTTGAGTTGAATTATGAAGAAATGGCTGCAATGGGGACAAAGAAATCATGTTAGGGTGGGTTGTGTTTGCGGTGGGGTGTGCTTGGCAATAAAGGTGATGAGGGAAAGTAGGAAAACCTGGAGGAGTGTGATTACCTTTCAGGCATCAGCTGCCCCCAGCTTGAAAAAATGTTTTTATTAAGCAGAGAAACAGACAGCATCACTCAGCAACTATGAATATTTGGCCACAGTTGTACTGAGGGTGTGCGCTCCCTCTTTATACGCTCTTCCTTAAAGGTTGGAGAGCCAGGTTGTTATTAAAGTGTGTTTTTAAATGCTTCGTTGGGAGCTGGGCAATTTTTACCAAAATAGGTAAGAAGAGAGAAGGTCAAGGTTTGAAGAAAGTGTGACTCTCTTAAACCTCTGAGACAAACTTTTAGGTCCGATTTTGTAATTCTGACAATCCACAGGGTTGTGTTGTAAAATAAAAAGTGGGACTGTGTGCCAAAGTTGTAAACCAGTACAAACAGTGGATTGTATTCATTATTGAAACACTAACTTATTGAGAATTTATGAGATTTCCTTTTTCTTTTAAAAGTCTTAGATTTAATAAGTTGCTTATAAAGTGCAGCATGAATCCACTTTTAATCACTGACAGGGCAGACAATCTGCTTTTACTTGATTACTAATTTCTCCTCTCCCTGGGAGAACCACAAGGTGCCGACTCGTGTTTTTATGGCGATTCAGCTCTTTAAACAGTGACAGATGTGAAATCACTCGGCGCCTCTTCTTCATATTCCCGCTGTAGCAGCAACATTTAAAGGATGTGATGTCATCCGTGTTTTATGGCCTGACACAACTGGCTGTAATGACACTGACACATAACCACAGTGTGTTTCTTCCTCATAAAGTTACTGTGCACAAAAAAAATGCAATTTATTTTTATAATCCATGATATGATTTTGTGAATCAACAACAACTTCACCTCGTTCAGATCCATGCAAAGTTCCAGTTTCATGATCTGAGACAAAGATTAGAAACTTAATCAATGTATCAACTTGTGCAAAATGTATTGCAGAGAAATTTCATGTTTCAAGCAGAAATGCTTCTCAAATGTGGATATTGGCTGCTTTTCTTTGTCAAATTTGATATGAAACCAAATATTTTTGGGTTTTCAGCTGTTTCATAGACCAGAGCAATCGACAAAGTAATTGTCAGTTGCAGCTTTAATTTCCTAGCATTGAAATTAAGATGCTGTGATGGTAAAGAGCTCTTTACTTTGGCCACACTGTCCGCTGAGATCAGAATCAGAATCAGAAATACTTTATTGATCCCCGGGGGGAAATTTGTTAGATGAAAAGAGATGAAAAATACTCCGACAGATCGGGTTCATTAATAAGGCAGGGGACAAATGTGACCAGGGCGAGGTGGACCTGGGATAAGAGCGAGGTCACAGGTGGGAAGCTGAAAGGAAGTGTGTGTGTCCTGACTCAACAGATGTGGAGCAAGCTGTCAGGAAAAGCCTCATATCTGGAATAATACATCAGCGAATGGAAACAGGCTAAAACAAACAGACCGTTACTGCTCTTGACGGACAGACAGACAGACAGACAGACAGAAAACAGTTACACAAGATTAGATAGAAACATGCACATTGTGAATGTACATCTGAATAAACTGAGTTAGTACTGTGCGTGTGAATTATGACATTTGACAACATCCTTCCATCTCTGTCTCTGGCTGTGTAAATACTCACCCCTTTGTTAGGAGAAAAAAAAAAACAGCTGGCAGGCTTGTCCAGGCAGTGCTTCCACCACCTGTGTGTACTTCACACCTGAGATTACCTCATCCTGATAACATCAGGCAACATAATGACACATTGTATTCCTCATCACCCGCATCCACTGTGAAACCACCCCAGGGTTCAGCCACATGCTCACAGAGGGCGAATATGGCATGACTGAAGCAACAATCATCTTGTTTTCGGTGCAGGAGGACAGAGCCATTTAGGGTATGATTTGGGATTTTTGGTCGGCTGGAACTGAATTCTCTGCAAACAGCACCCAGTCTGATCGTCTCACAGAACTGATATGGATGGGTGGCACCTCTTTTGCACTGTCCTCACTTTGAGTTATTCTGTTGGTGGACACAGAGGATGGCAGGAAGTGAGTCCTCCTGTTCAAATATGTGGCCTGTCTGCATACTGGTGGGATTTAGAGGTCTGGCATAGCGGTAGCTCTTTGTGCCGTTGGATAGATGGAAATCATTGGGAGAGGTGAAAGAAAATAAAAGAACATTTTTGCTGCAAATTTTCTGAGGCTGTCGAGACAAAAGACTGTCCACCTCGCTGAGCACGGCAGCATCAACCTTTAAGTGGTTTGATTCTGGGCTCAATGTCACATCTCGCTACACAATTCCCTAGAGTGCCTCTTAACATGTTTAGAAGGAAAGAAGACACAGTTTGCCAGCACACATGCGTCAGTTCTTTCATCTATCATTCAAGAGGATGATGTCATGTTTGAGCCACACATTCTCAGACAGACGCTGTAACCTCAACTAACTGACTTCATGCATTTTTTTGGGTGCAGCAGATACATGAATAACATCTTAGATATGTAACGTTTCTAATAATGGTTTAGGTTGATGGAGGTTGGCAAACAATTATCAGGCATGTGCAAACTTTTTATGTTTTACTAAAAGTCCTTAAACACACAAGGTGGTCTGGATAAGTCATCCTAAGGCTGGAATGACTCTCCTGAAGTGTCCTTGAATGAGGCACTCAAAACTTCTAAATGCTCCAGTGGTGCAGTAAAGTGCTTCTCCCTCTCATGATCTGGGTAGATGTTATAATGCTCACTGATATGTCAATAAACAAGTAGGATGTAAACCATTTTTCATCTCAGCCTCTTATGAAGGAAAAGTCACAGCCTTCTGTGATTATAGACATCACCATGATGTAGCTCGTTTCTCTGTGACTAGTGTGGATAATGAGGGCAATTTGTCATTCTCTCTTATTTAGTGCCTCATCATCGGAGGAGGCCCCTGTGGTCTGCGGACGGCCATTGAGCTGGCTTTGATGGGTGCCAAAGTGGTGGTGATCGAGAAGAGGGACTCCTTCTCCAGGAACAATGTGCTGCACCTTTGGCCCTACACCATTCATGACCTTCGAGGCCTCGGGGCCAAAAAGTTTTGCGGGAAATTCTGTGCCGGGGCCATAGACCACATCAGTGAGTGCGGGCTTTATTGTATATTATTTGGCTTTTTATTGTATCTTATTAATAGCTTTCTCTTTTTGTGCTTTAAGTGATGCGGCTGCTGTTGGTTTTTTTTTCTCTCTGGAATTTCATATCTATCCATTTCATCCTTAAATCTTACAATTTCCCTGTAAATTGCCAGACTGTAAATTGAGTTAATTGATTGGTTGATTGACAATGAACAAACATGATACAACATGATAAATGATAAAAGTGCTCCAGGTTCTGAACATCAGGACTTACAAAGAGAGAGAAAAAAAATACATACGTGATAGCAAAAGCATTTCAACAAGAAGAAAATGCAGGACATAATGATAAAACAATGATATATTATATTAGGAAGTAAATCTCGACTCCCCTGTTATTTATTTTAATATCATTTGAGCACTGATTCTTTTTAATCTTTGCAACATAACAACAAGAGGGTAGAGTTATGGAGTTCAAGCCTCGCTCTCAACGATGTCAAGACGACATAACACAAAACACAAGGTTTGGCAGTGTTTAACATCTGTATGCAAACACTGATGTGTGTGTGTCTTTGTCTAATAGGCATTCAGCAGCTGCAGCTGATCCTACTGAAGGTTGCCCTGCTCGTGGCAGTGGAGTTTCACATCAATGTGGAGTTTGTCAAGCTGCTGGAACCTCCGGAGGATCAGGAAAATGAAGGTATCCATCCACACGTTCTCTTCAGTTACATGTCCAAACAATAGATTAACAGCGCTTTTGTATTCACCCACTCGACAGTTGTTTTATGGCCTGCAAGCTTTAGGAAGATGAGGAGATTTAAGCATGTGGAAACAATAAAAGTGGGACATGAAGTAGGATTGGGTTGAGAAGTTTAATAATGTGTAAAGCTTGATATAGACATCAGGCTGCTTCAGTCAGTGTATTAGACAGATACTGTGTGGCTTCCTGGCGGATCTGTATCTTCTCATCCTGCAGTATTTAATTTCCTTGACAGCCACCAATAAACAGCAGACAAACATTGGCACCGTTTTAGTTTTTCATCATATTTAGATGAGGTTAGCAGAGGTCAAGTATGTTGCCTGACTTCCCTGTTAGTGCTCAAATGTGTGCCTACTATATACATAACCTACTTATCACATCAATAGCAGTGAATGAACATTGTTTCCTCTGTTTAAAACAAAATGTAGTATCTTTTATTCTCATCTCATGATATTTTTTCTGGTGTGCACTTAAGATCAGCTTATATTACATTTGAGTACTGAATTTCAAAATTTCCATGACCTTCTGATAATCACATGGCATTTAGTTTGAAAAGATCAGCACAATGCACTGCAGCCTTATGATATTAATGTTTTGTAGCACGTAAACTGCACTGCAGATGACTACTTGACCCTCTCACCCCACATTGGACTATAAACTCTTAGAAAGAAAACAACTCGCATGCTGTTGTCAGGTGTTGGCTCTTCAGCCGTTATATCCACACACTGATAACAACAAGAGCCTCGCCTAATTTTAGACAGACTTATCCCTCCTGTTCTGCTGTGACGAACTTAGCTGTGCCCTTGACATCACGGAATGCATTTTCCACATGGTGATATTACACAACAAACTGCCAAGCTGTTACTGTGTTGGTCTCACAACACTGCAGCACCAATATTTCATACATAAATGGTGTTTTGTCTGTTAGTCAAGTTTGCAGGCCAGATCCGCTAGCTGTGGAGCATCTGTGTACTATATGAACATACTAAAAGTCATTATTATTTCCTTTGCTTGCCCTTTTTTAGGCATTTATTTTGAAATTACACTTCATTGGAAAAGATTATTTTACTGGGATCATAGCAACAAAACACCACAATTAGGATTTATGTTACATGTTCTTCTGCCTCTCTCACTCTGTCCTTGCCTCCATCTCTCAGCTCTTGGATGGAGGGCTGCAATCCGACCTGCTGATCACCCCGTGGCTAACTTTGAGTTTGATGTCGTGGTGGGGGCTGACGGACGCAGGAATACTCTGGAAGGTGAGAAGACGCCAAACAAAAGGGGCGGACAGTATAAGTGCTTCAAGGATGTACTTCACTTAGCCCACAAAGTATGATACAGTATAAAGTTACATGTGCCGGATTAAGGAAGGAACAATCCGTGACCCAAATGTATATTTTCCCACCACCAGTATCACAGGGCTGGAGCCTCCTGTCACTCTCAAATTGAAATGTTTTTTTAAGTTGATATTTTCTGATGTTGTTACATGTTAACGCCAGTGAAATGTTTTATTTCAGCGCTTCAGTTACACAGTATATGTGAATATATTTGTAATTAATAGGGCTATTAGGTTCACATACTGGCCTTCCCTTGTGTGTCTTTGAGCTTCAGCAATAATAAAATCTTGCATATAGCAAGTTGTTTTTCCAGCCTAACACATTAGTTGAATGTCTGTCACAGGTAAGCAACATGATTACTAGACGCTTTTGTCTCCAAAGTTGTTTTACTGCAAAGTCCATGTGTTTGATTGTATGTGAAAATCTCTGAAGCATCGTGGGGAACTAAAATTCATGTTTTAGTGTTGACTTAACTAAATCAAACAAACAAACAAAATCCAGCAGACCTTCTGTTTACTGAAAGTCCAAGACGTTCAAAAGGACTTTAAATAACTCGTACCGTATTATTTCTGTTGTGAAGCTATAAATGAAACTCACCTTTTGTAAACTTACACTTGTATGAAGCCATTGATCTCTCCCAGTGGGAAAGAAAATCCATCAAACTCTGAAACACTGTACAGAAATAGAGCAAAGCTGGGGCTCAGTGCAGCAGCTGATGCATGCATGCTGGACTCTCTCCATCTCTCTGTCTCACTGTTTTGCTCTCTCCTAAAAATGCTGTCATCTAACAACCAATTCACATCAGATGCTTATTCCTAAAAAGGGCATTTTAGGGCAGAACAAGATGTTTAGCTCATTCTTCAATTATGAAGAAGCCTGGGGGAAATGATTTTCCCCTGCAGTCAGACTGCTTGTTGGCTACTTTTGTGCCCTAGCTACGGTAACACACACAGTTAAATACAATCAGATCAGCAGAGGGGAAAAGGTCCTTTTGTAAATTCTAACAGTGAGAGTATGCGTGACACAAGTTCAGACACTGTCTCATCCAGCACTTTGTAGAAAGCAACCAATCCATTTTCTTTTCCTTCCTGGACTTACAGCTTTAGAATTAGTGACATTGTTAGTGAGTTATTACTGGGTTAAAAAGTTAATTTGAATCTACCAGTAAAATGTTACATCAAAATTTTAGTCTGTTTTATATGTGCTTGGGGTTTTTAGTTTTCGTCGGGACATAGAAAGTTAACATTGACAGAACCCTTGAATTTTGTTTCCTGTTAATTAAGCAAAAGATTGAACTTTGGTGATAGCAGTTCATTCCTGGTGGTTCTTACAATCTGTGGCTTTTGTTCCCTCCGCTATAAAAAGGCTCACCTTGGTAAGCTGTCTCTTATCCGAAAATAACTGCCTTGTAATTATGGTTCAACGCTAGATTTCCTCTGGTTTTAACTGACAAGCTGATAGGACTGTTTTTTCTCGAAAAGATCAACCTCCTATCTGTTTCTCTGTTTCATTCTTAATCTCAATGTCTTTTTTTCTCTCAGGTTTCAAAAGAAAGGAGTTCAGGGGGAAGCTGGCGATCGCCATCACAGCCAACTTCATCAACAGGAACACCACCGCAGAGGCCAAAGTAGAAGAGATCAGCGGCGTAGCCTTCATCTTCAACCAGAAGTTCTTTCTCGATCTCAAAGAGGAGACAGGTGGGATAGAAGCATCGTGGTGTTACCTGCCATGAACTGACAGAGAGATTGTGTTTTTGATTTGTTTGCTCTTATATAATCAGTAGCCACTGATGATATAATTTTAAGGTGATCTTCTCCATTTGATTGCCCAGTGGTGCTTTTCTTAGATTTTGTTTCTCAAACCATATAATTTGTTTCAGGTATCGATCTGGAGAACATTGTGTACTACAGGGACAACACACATTACTTTGTCATGACTGCCAAGAAACAGAGCCTGTTGGACAAAGGAGTCGTCATTAATGTAAGTAAAACATGTAGGTCAACTGTCATGGGATCCGCTGTGAACCACAGTGTCGTATCTTTTCATTTTTACTCCTTTTTTTCTGGATATTTTTTTAACAGCTAATTTTTAAGGTCATTGTAACAAAGAATTAATATCATAAACCTCTGTATAATTCAATCAAATGCAATAGCCCTTCAGCTGAATTGCCATTTAGTTTATTTAATTATTTTGTTTGCATCTCTAAAATTGCTGGAGATGTTGGCAGCACTTTAGAGGTCTAGATTCAGGCTGTTCCTTATATCATGTCCACAATCTGTACACATTTCACTTCCTTGTGCAGAATTACTAAAAAATACTCTCTAAGGGAACAAATCATAAAGAAATGAATCTTTTACACTCAGACTTACTGTGTGAACTTCTCCTGACTGTCGTGCTTCTGTTCAACAGGACTACATAGAAACCCAGAAGCTGCTGAGCAGTGAAAATGTCAACCAGGAAGCTCTTCTGTGCTACGCCCGAGAGGCTGCTGACTTTGGCACCAACTACCAACTTCCCACGCTGGATTTTGCCATGAACCACTGTGGGCAGCCAGATGTAGCAATGTTTGACTTCACAAGCATGCACGCCTCAGAGAACGCTGCGCTGGTCAGGGAGAGATTCGGACATCAGTTACTCGTAGCACTGGTTGGCGACAGTCTGTTAGAGGTAAGGAAGGGCAAGATGTATCAGGTAAAGTCATGTGAGCTCAGTTCAGTGGAGTGCATGAAGAAGAAAAGAAGCTGTTACACAATCTGGCAGTCATGGTTTGGAGCCTGATTTTGGTTCTGGCCAGATGCTATAGGGTTAAGAGGGTGAAGCTGATCTGCACAGTCACACAGACGGTCATTATTATTATTATTATAACAGTATTATAACTGTTTGTAAAATGTTTAAAGTCAACTCTTTTATACAAAGCAACTAACAGAGCACCAAAGTCTGCTCAAACAGTCTTTCTTATAAACACTGACAACTCTTATTTATCCATATTTTTTCTTTTCCCCTTTTATTTATCTATTTTCTATTTCTTTTTATTGTACGCACATGCATTAATTTTTGTAAAAGGAAATCTACTGTCAGTAAATGCCCATCTCCTCTCCCAACTAATCACAGACAAACCACAACCACACATCAGTTTCCCCACTATATTAAGCCCTATGTTGCACTTACGCCCTATCTTCTGCTCCACGTCTTTCTAATGCTCGTCTCACTGTATGTATATTATACAATGTCTGTCTATGTTAGACCACATGTGATGTTTTGCTTTGCAGTTCAAAAACCATGCCAATATTTAGTGCAAAATATTTGTACAGTGATTTCATTAATGAGGTGTCCTCATGAATGCTGACACATTATATTCACACATTCATATATTTATTATGTGTTCCTGTGCAGCCCTTCTGGCCTATGGGGACGGGTTGCGCCAGAGGCTTCCTGGCTGCCTTTGATACAGCCTGGATGGTAAAGAGTTGGTCTCAGGGTCGGACAGTTCTGGAAGTACTGGCAGAGAGGTACACACAAACATAGATTCATTGTGTTTGAGAAATATAAGTCTGTATTCTTATTTAGTCTGAATAAGCACTGCCACATTAAAGTGACACATCTTGCACTATGTGTTTCTATAGGGAGAGTATCTACAGGCTACTTCCTCAGACTACACCTGAAAACATTGCCAAAAACTTTGAACAGTACACCATAGACCCTGGGACTCGATACCCCAACCTCAACTCTTCTTGTGTCAGGCCACACCAGGTGAGAGGAAACACTCACTAAGGCAATATCAGATTCTTACTGTCTGTCCTTAGGTATTGACTCAATGTTTAAATATACACAACTTCTTGAGCATCTTGACTGTAATCATTTTCCTTTTCCTTTCTGTTTTAGGTGCGTCACTTGTACATAAGTGGAGAGCTGAATTCCTGCTCTCTGGAGCGTGCTGCTACGATACGTCGGCCTGTCAATCTTAGCAGACGAGGCAAGTTTAACAGGAGATAGAAGATTCCTATGTCTTGTTTTTAGTCAATCTGTAGTTCAAAGCATGCCTACTGTTATTATGTAATTATATAAAGTATTCTGACTCATTGATGATGGTTTCCTTCAGTTAGGATTGTCATATGAACAATACTTTTGCCTGTAATTTTCCTGTTCTAACTATGAGTTAGTAACTGGCAAAAAGTAAACATTCTTCCTCCTTTGTCACAATTAAACATAGCAATGCAGAGTTCAGATTATATATATATATATATATATATATATATATGTAGAACTGATAGTAAAGACAAAAGCTCTACATGCTGAACTGAGCTGTATGTTTAACTGAAGTAACCTGAGTCATTCGCCAAAGGCATCAAGAAAATGCGTGTTCAGACAAAGATGACAAAGATATGTATAAACCTCAGCACCCGCTCACAGCATTTCTTTCACAATCTTATTTACTGGCACACCATGTTTTGATGGATGCATATGACATCATATCCTCTACGGCCTAAACCTCCTGGCGGTGAAAAGTGATCAATTGTTTGAGGAATTGCATCATTTTATCTAAAAATATGACTTCCATTTCTTTTGTAGAGTCAGACATCAGACCGACGAGGCTTCTTACCTGGTGCCAGAAACAGATGGATGGCTACAGGAATCTGATTATCACAGACTTGACGTCTTCTTGGAAAAGTGGCATCGCCCTCTGTGCCCTCATCCACAGGTTCAAACCCCAGCTGATGTACGTAACACACATCAAAAAATATCAGTACCAGCCTGCAGCATTGTATCTTTCCATCCAAATCCATGCATACGTACATTCACATGAAGAAACCTGTTTATTTTATTTTTGTTAAATGAATTCTGCACCCTCTTTGTAACAACTAGTTGTGAGAAAATCAATTTCTTGTGCGTGTGTTAAATATGCTTGGCATGAGAGCAACTCCTTGATCTATGTATGTTTTCTGCTGCGCTCTGTCTACCTCCTCCTTACAACCTGTGAAACACTTGACTCTTTGTGTGCTGATAGATGTGAAAAAGACTTCATACGTAGCTGTCCTATACATAAAGTTGCTGGTAGTACAGGGTGCAAACCGAGGAGTGCAGCTGTGTACCTTTCACACATTTTTATGCCTCGGTGCCAGCAAATAGCTGTGGCCATTGTCCATCCGTACGTCTGTCCGTCCCATTCTCGTGAACGCTATCTCTCACAAACGATGATTGATTGACAAAATGTTCCACATGTTTAATGGGATAAAGGTCAAAGATTAACTTCACTGTGACATCATAATGTCCTGGAGAACACTTTTTTGGCCATTATTCAACACCATAACTTAGGAACAGAAGGGGAGATTAACCAACTGACTGACCATATTTCACAGTTGGTTGGACACTGAATTGGTGACACTTTTGAATCAAATAATTTAAGAGTGAATTGGCTGATTCTAGATTTCACACACCATGACACGGACGACACAATGAGTAAACAGTAACTAGCACAGTACGAGGTTTCATCATTCTGAATTTCAAGCGTCATCTGATACACATGACTAGAAACTAAATATTGAAACACATCGCTAATTGTGATCCTGTGAGTGAGTCTGAGTTTCACCTACAGCTCATAGAGGCTTTGCATCTAAAAATGCCATAGAAAACAAAAGCACCAGATTTTGTGTCAACTACATGTGTACCGGTTTAATCAATACGTCTATGATAATAATTAATTAATCAGTTCAAAAATGTATATTCCCTAGAAGTATACATACCAGTAGCCTAAATACTTTTTTTTACCTTTTTTATTTAATTCCTCCAAAGACTATACTGCATATATTATATGACTCTGGACATTCATGGGTGTAAACTTGATCAACTCATCTGAAATAAATACTGGTTGTTCCAGTGCCTGAATTACTGTGGATTGAGTAGTATTTAATTGTAAATAATGGCCCTATCCATCTGTTGATCCGGAGTTGTGGAGAAAAACAGCTCATGTAGGACTTCATGTGCTTTGTCACTTATAGGACAAAGTCCTACTTAAAAAAACAGCAATCTACCGTAGTTTCCACTTTTTAGGGTTAGACTACCGTACACAGCATTGGATTAGTGCAACTGTAGATTAGTACATTTACAAATCTAATTATATCCTCTCACTCTTTAATTATTGCCTTCATACCTCGCTACATGCCATTATGATTTCATGTGGTCCTGTAAGTTTCCAGGAACCACTGGCATTTTTCCTCTTCTCTCCTCCATATGCATGCCTGTCAGCAGACTGCAGAGAGGGGAGCAGGTTCATAGAAAAGAAAGAAAGGAAGAAAGAGTGGGCCTCTGTACTTACAGAATAACACCAAAGTTTGTGTGTGCTGCTGCTAGGTTACTGCTCTCTTCTTTACATTATTTCTGATGCTGTCTGCACACCGTCAGTGTAGGTAAAGACGTCAGCTGAGTTTTTTACTCCAATTAGAAGTAATTTGCTCCCATTTTCTTCAGTATTTACTGACACTTCCTCTACAGGGTTAAAAAATGATGAAGATAAGATTCTGTGTAAAATCATTCCAATGTGCTTACGTCAACTGTTTTCATATCAGTGTGCGTATTATCTTACAGTCTTGAACTGACTTGAAAGTCTGGAAATAATCCTTTTAAGAATCTCAGTTACAAACGTGACTGTTACATTCCTGTCTCATTATTCAGGGCTCCTTAAACACTTATGATACTGGGAACAATGTGAAATGTAAGATGAAAATCTAATAAAAGAAATCTCATTAAGTATTCATTTCAAAGTGATCAGTGGTAAATGTAAACCAGAATCAGATCTAAATGGAAGTACATGATCTCAAACTGTGACTCAGGATGAATTGAAGGCCTACTATAGGCTGACACAGTAACTATATATTTTTCCCAGCTGCTTTTCCATGGCATTTGTAGCCTAAATCTTTTTTTAAGACCTTCTTTTTACTCAACCCACCATTATTTTTCTTCCCCCATCAGAGATTTTGACTCATTAAATGAAGAAGACCATGCTGCAAACCTCCAGTTGGCTCTTGACATTAGTGAGCGTGAATTTGGGATCCGACCATTTACGTCTGTGAAGGAGCTGAGTGAGGATCAGGAGCTGGATAAGACCACGATGATCACCTACCTGTCCAAGTACTATGAGCTCTTCCGTGGGACACCTCTACCTGCGTCAGGTACTCTACTGTCCTCTACTGTGCTCAGCACCATTCAACTGTATTCTGCTTTGCTCTACTGGGCTTGACTCTACCTGACCTTACTCTACTCGACCTCCCTCTGCTGTCCTCTACTTTACCCTGTTCTTCTCCACTATACTGTATAAGACACAACTATACTGTATTGTACTGGACTCGACAGTACTCGGCTTAATCCTACTCAACTAAACTCTACTATCATCCACAGTACTCCACCCTGCTCATCTCTCTCCTCTCTACTAGACACAACTCAACTCTACTTTACTTTATTCGACTATACTATACTCTTTTTGACTTTGGCTCTGCTCGAATCAATTTGACTTGGTTTCATTAGTTATAGGCACTGATGACTGCCTGTTGTTAATGTACTGTTTTTGTCCTCTACTTTGTAGACTACTACTTCTTTTATTTTTTTTGTATGACTAGAATATTTATGAACTCGAACAAAAAAATCCCAGAAATTCCAGTGAGAGAGAATGTATTGAATGTCATTTGGTTTCCTGTTGAAAACTGTGTGTGTTGTGCAGTCCTATCAGTCACGTATAGTGGCACGAGAGGAATGCATGCTAGAGCCGTGGACTGCAATAGTCTGAGATTTTTGACAACATGAAGACAGCTGCCTGTGTCTACTGAAGGGCATTTAATGCTTACCTGTACTATGGTGTTTTATATAAAATCCACCTTCCTCTGACATGCAGTTGAGTGATTCAGAAAGGCTTTATTTTTTAGTGGAACATTTCTCTACACAGATACAGTAACTCTCTTTTTTCCAGACTACTCTTATAACTTATATAATTTATATGGTTATCATTATTCATTGATATCACCTGACATTTATGGCTGTGCACTATGGAAACAATGAAAAAACTCTAATGCAGTCATGTGCTATACTGCAGGTTCCAGAGGACTGGATGAAAACAATGAAGATTATCCATCTAAAGAAGTCAGAAGTAATAATAATGTCCTCAATCTTGCACTGCCCAGGAAACGGGTACCAAAGGTAATTCACACTGAAATGTTTAAATCTGATGTGATAAATACGACAAGCTGGCGGTCCCTGACTTACATTATCTTCATTTCCAGTTCATGTGGGATTTAATTTATATACATACAGTATGGGATTGTTAAATGAGATTTCAATAATCATATGAGATTCTTTCCAGCAGTTTTTGGCTTGAAACTCCTCTTCTTTTGTTGGTTATTCAGTCTTTATTACCTTGTGCTCTTCAGGATGAAAAGAAGTCAGACGGTACAGATCCAATTTACAAAAGGAGGCGGAAATTCTGCAGTTATTTGGAAGAGGTTTGTTGTGAAACTGCGTACTTGTGTCAAACATAATCACTATTTTAAAAACACTGTTATAGTGGGATCTTGTCTGTCCATCTCTCATTAGGCCACCAATCTGTCGAGTAATGGCTCCACAGCGCGGGAGAGCCGGGAACCCAAGGAAAACAAAGTGCGCTCAATGGCTACTCAGTTGCTGGCCAAGTTTGAAAACACACCCAGCTACTCTGTCCGGAAAACACAGGTAAAAAACACAACAATATAGGCCCAGAGATTATATTTTATTGTAGTAGGACTATGGTTTCCACTCATTTATGCCTGTAAGTATACATGTATGAATACAATCTGTTTACTTAATACTGTATACATCTTTCTAAGCCTGCATATAGTTAGAAATGACTATTTGCCTTCTTTTTCATGGATCATAAATATGTTTTAAATTTTCCTTGTTGTGAGCTGGAGCTCTGATAGTGGTCTGTGGTTTTAATATATTTTCCTTTTTCTAATACTAGCCTTCTCTTGTCTTTTATTTCCAACATTTAATCTTTTCAGTCTTTTCTATTTCTGTGCCTTTTTATTAACCGTCTTTCTAACCTTTCTTCAAAATCTCAGTCAGACTGTGAGAGATCCTCCCCACTGCAAACTCTTGACCTGACTGAGAGTCTGCGCGTTAAACCCAGGCCTCCGGTCGCACCTAAACCTCCTCCTGAGATACAGGTAGTCTGGAGCTGCCAGAAGCCAGTTAAGACACAGAAACAGTAGCCAAATGCATTTAAAACTAGTGACAGTCTGTAAAGCTTCACATAAAATAGAGGGGTGTTTGTATGCTGCCCCAAGACACATGTATAGTTATATATGTACATGGAAACACACAGACATTTACAGCACATGGTATATACATATACCTCAAACACATACACCACTTGTGTGCAAAGCTTAAATTACAGAGTTTTCTGTCTTTTTGTTCTATATTTAAATTACCATACTGCTGGTTTTACATTCTTTAGTCCAGACTGATTTAGACCCTAATTTCACACCACAACTGGCTGAATGTGATTCCTTCATGTGTTATATCAATGACATGTAACTAGAAACCAGATCAAACTAGCATAAAACTAGATTTAAAGCTCAAAAGATAAAACATAAATAAAAATACATAGTTGCACATGTACTTAATCTTGTAAACCATAGAAACTATGCAATCTTTTGCATATAACTTTTCTAAGTTCCTCCAGTTTAGAGTTTTCGTTATAACTACCCCTTTGGAGGTAAAGTCAGTGCTGTTTGGATGTTTGGTCAACAGTATACATTTTTGTGTTAAAGGTGGAACTGAAAAGCATTCACATTAAATTTAGATAAAACTGACATTAAAGTAAATTGGCCTAATTGATGCTGGCACATTCAAACAATCGTGACGATTCCTTTATTAATCTTAAATACAAGTGTGAATGAACCCTTACTCCAATTTTCCAGTTTTCAGAGACAGTTTTTGATTTTTCTTTATTACCAGGCTTATATCTAACAGATAGATTCCACAGAGTAAATTTTTCCATGTATTTCTATAGAGTGAACTACAGTATGTCTGGTAATCAGACACCAATATAGTATACTTGTGTAAGGGTTTTGGAGAGCATTCATCTTAACAAGCCAGACAAAAAACTGATGAAAGAGCTTTGCAATTGCTGTAGTCAAAGCATTGTATTAGTGAGCTAAGCTTCAGGAAAATCATACCCACGAAGCAAACAAAAAGCAAATGTATGAATATAATATTGTAAATTTGACAGTCTCTTTCATTTAAATGTAGCTGTTGGCTGCTCGCTGGTCTCAGATGTCAGATTGCCCCTTCAGTGCATTACTACCTCAAGACAAAGGTGTTTTAAAGACAGTTCCCGTTCACAGCTGCATTACCATGTGGTGATTACATAGCTTTGGCAAAACATAAAGCAGACAGAATGGTAATGAATTACCTATGCAAGTTGTGTTTCATGCTGCGCTGGCATGACTATCACCTCAAAAAGTCAAAAATTATTTGAAAACAGTTGGCAGCCTTGTTAGGTATTTGTGTGGGCTGAAACATATAAAACCACCTGTATGGTTCTTCAAACAGCCTCTAAGTGAAAAATATGTTGCACCACAACTCACATGTGCACTACTGTATATTATCCCTTTCAGTTTGAAATCAGTATCAGAAAAGCAGCAGAACACTTAGTCCGCCCGCCTCCAAAGATACTGCCCAAACCCCAGCTGGAGCCTCAGTCCCAGCATCCATTTTCTGTAGTGAAGCTCAGACATGTTGATCAAACGCACGCTGAGACGAAGCCCCAGCCTCAGCCCGAGAGTCCAGACCCCCCTGCTTCACCTTCATCCTGCCACTCAGCAATCCAGTTCATGTCAAGAGTCCTCCAGCGCCTCAGGGAGGTGGATGAACACGTCTCTGAGGTGATCACTATCTCCTCCTTCATATCTTTAACTTCTTTCTTCTGTTTCTGTTCTCTTTTTTTATACCCCTGTGACTGTTACATGTTCTGATCCCCAAAAAGGCCCCAGAGTGAATGTTAATTATATATTATGCACTGATTATACATTTAGGCTTGTGCAATGTGTAGTCAGATGGTGAAGTCAGCCCCTAAATAATCCAGCCTGACGAAAATGGCAAGAGCAGGCCTACAGACCTGGCACATGCTGAGACAGACACACAGGATGATTATTGGCCAGTCTGATTCCAAGTGGAACAGGCTGGTCAGGGCCAGGCTGCAGGCGCTGGCTTACATCTGCAAATAATATATTTAGATTATTCAGATTTTGCCAAAAGCCTGCCTGCGTTGGCTCAGATCAGCATTGCAAAATTGTTCACCTTATCAAGTTATTTAGTGTTGAAAGATTATGATTTGTGAGGTATTTTAGTTTGAATTGCAGTTTCACCTGGTTTACGTTTTCTTAAAATACAGGCAAAATAATTGAAACAATCAATCAAAATAACTTTAAACTAGATCAGTATTGCAAACATTGCCAGATGGGTTAATTTACTGTCACTGGTCAACCTCAGCAGTGTGTCTTTTATATCCATGTTGGTTAGTTTTAAATTTGGACCAATGTTCTTCTTTGTCAGTGCAGTTTGTCTGTGTTTGGCATTGTGGTGACTTATGAGACTTCTGTTCTGAGATTTTGCAGATGCACCTGCAATTTGAACAGAAATGAATGAGCTTTTATTGGAGCTCAGTTAAATGTTACATGTTTCTTTCAAGTGTTGAAAACCAGACCTTTTTTATAGTTGACAAAATACAGGTAACTGGCATATACTGTATGATGTGGGTTAAAAGTATTTTCAGTATAATAACATTTGGACAATTTGATAATTACGCTTATCCGCTTTCTTGCCGAGAGTTAGATGAGAAGATTGATACCACTCTCATATCTGTGTGTTGAGTACAGAGCTGGAGCCGGGAGTTGATTAGCTTAGCTTAGCATAAAGACTGGAAGCAGGGGGAAACAGATAGCCTGGCTTTCTATAAAGGGCAAATATATGCCTACCAAAACGACTAATTAACACAATCTGGGATTATTTGTTGAATCCATATGACAACTGGCTTGTGGCTTTAGGTAACGTTGCGTACTATAACCACATTTTGGCTAACAACAGCTGGATGCAGCGACTTCCCAGAGTATGCAGGGCGGTTCTATAAACGGTTGACTTTAGAGGTGCTAATCAGCAGATTTTTGAACTTTTGACAAGGTGAACTTTTAATCCAACTTTGCACATTATTTTAAACTATCTTAAATTTAAATCTTAAATTTAATATTTATCCTTTTAATTAATGTACTTTAAGATTAGGCTTTGAGTCATTTAAGCCTTAAAGACTCAATACTTCACTGTAGGATTTATTAACATCAATATTTCCTTGCTGAACCGACATAGTTTCTCTGCCAGGTGTGTGTGGCTGTCTGAGTCTTCTGTTTCAGTACAGTATGAGTAACCACATCAAGTGGGGTGTGAAATTAATGTAATAAGACAGCCTTCTTTCCACACAGCGACGTTATTGTTCTCCTCCCGACAATACACACTTAGCTGTCAAAGCCTGCTTCTTATTGGGAAAGTAGAACAGAAAGGTCTTTCATCATTTAGCTGTATAGTGCGTATTAAATGGTTATTAGTCTACCTAATTATGTCTACACACAGAAAGCTCCGCATTTGTTGGTGGAAGAATGTGTCTCATTGTACTGAGGAGACTGATGGCTTTTCTTTTATTCCTGTGCTCCCTGTCATCCTGCAGAAAAAAGCTCAGACACAACAGGCTAGAGAGTTTCAAACAAAGAGTATAAAGGAAAAAGCCGTTCACCTTAGTGGGTTGTTCTCAGCAGACAGCTCAGCTGTACTCAAGGTGACTACCTCAAGCTTGTGACCCCACCTTGGCCTTGTGTTTTGCACTACCTGCCCCTCATAGTGCCTTTATTTGCATGTGGAAAGACGCCATGTTCGATCACGAGTGTTGCATGTAGCCAATTTCTCCCTCGTTCAGTATTTTGCACAACATAGATTTTTTTTTTTTACACTTGATTGTTTTTTTATCAAGGTAAGAAGCAGCTATAAAATATTTTTAGAATAACAATGTAACCAATGGCAATGTAAAAGCAACAAAAAGCGATCGCTTGTAGGGATGAACCTGCAGAGAATTATCACCTGAGTCTGCTCTGGAGGCCCTAATGGAGCTTTATAGGGAGTTTCAGCTCATTGTTTAGCTGTCCGGCAGCAACTTTAATGTTCTGGTTCACTCTCAGTGTTCTCATAGTGTCGTTTTGAGCCTCAGCAGGCCACTGTTTTCAGTGTAAAATCTGTAAAATCCAACTGTACACTACCTGCTCAGCACCAAACAGCAGACAGACACAGTTAGAGGCTAGCTGGTGAACATAGTAGAGCATTTTGCAGCTGGCCTGCTTCTCTTTCATTTATAAATTGGCAATATTTGGCACAGCATTAATAATTTCCTATTTTCTAGAGAAGAGATTATTTAAAATACACTCCGTTTAGTAGGTATACTATCTAACATTTTGTCTAAGCCATTTACATCAGACTAAATATTACACCTGTCAGGGTAACAAAAGATGTCTAAAAAGATGAAACAAAAACAAAACCACTATAAACTTAATGAGGTTACAAGTTATTGCAGGACTGTATTGTTCTCTTGGTATATTTAATAAACTGAAAAGATGAGTTCATGTTTATGATGTTATGTTTGTTCTAGTAGTGAAGGCTAAACATATCTTATGCATCCCAAACGCAGCACACAGAAATCCTCCAGATAGAAAGAGAGGCAGTGCCCTAAAAAACAAGCAGCTTAACCCAAGATTCACATTGGGGTCATGTGTCTTCTAAATTACAATAGACAGATTTATGCAGAATGACTGCTGCTTTGCATGAGAGCTTTGCTTTTAACTGCTGTTTCTGCCCCTTGTGCTTTTAATTACCAGCAGTCCTCACAGAAGAGATGTGTGTGTTCTTGTGGTGGCACTTTGTGGGTTTCTCTGCTCCACCCATCCCAAACAGCCTGTTCCAACTCCACAGCCAGATGTTATAGCAGGACTTACACTAGTTTAAAATGATCCATGTTCAGATCTAATTTGATTCCTGAAGAGCAATTGGGTAACTATATAGATCACAATAAACTTCCTCACTGAACAATGTGTGTATATCCATATAACCTTGTGATGATCTATAGTTATCTTACTTGCTTTCCTTAACAGTTTCCTTAACCATTGGCTGAAAGTTAGTGAGCAATTGCAAAGGAGTCTGAGGCTTAAAGTAAAAAAGTGGTCACCCTCTCTCCCCAGACACATAGGCCTCATACAAAAATCACTCAAAATATCCCCAAGAAGATATCTCTGAACAATAAGACATTCAGGAAATGACTTTGACAAGAAAAGACTTGATCTGGGTGGAAAACATTCATTAACACAGCAGTGTGTTCCTTATCTTGCACTCAATTTTGTCACTATCACTATTCCTGCATGTATAACTCACTTCTGTTGTGATTGAGTATACCGACACCTCCACTGAACACCGAGTTTAAATGTCTTGCAAGAAGTAATGTGACTTAATTTCTTTCTCAGGTTTCATGTTGCAAAGTTGTAACCATAACAGCCTTGGTCTTTCTAATTGTAAAAAAGAAGTTTGATAATGTTGTTTTTTTGTTAAACAAATAGTTTGCATATTGGTTGATTTTACAATAGATGTTAACTGTATGTGTCTGTTGTTTCAACGATCTTGTGTTTATTATGTAAGGATTTAATTACCAGGATTTAAAGGACCAGTGTGTAGGATTTAGTGACATCTAGTGGTGTAATTGCAGATTACAACCCCCTCGGCTCACCCACCCAGTAGGTGGGTGAGCCCCAAGTGCGTTTGACAAACTACGAATGCCGCAAAACTCGCAAGAGGCCCTATTTACAGCCAGTGTTTGGTTTGCCTGTTCAGGGTTACTGTAGAAATATAGTGGTTAAACATAATAGACTCCATAGAAGGGGACCCGCTCCCTCTGTAGATAAAAATCCCTCATTCTAAGGTGATTATACACACCCCATTTCTGCCAATAGATCCTTCTAAATGTTACACACTGGACCTTTAAGTAGTGGGAAAGAGTAATTGGACAAAAAGTTATTATAACAAGGTGTCTAATGTCATCTTAATCTGCTGTCATGGTTTCACAGTTTATTTTCATCATCACTCAACAACTCAATCACTGTGTTTCCCAGGGCGGCTCAGTTCGAAGGGCGTTCCCCCCATCAGGTGACAAGTGTCACTCATGTGAGAGGCGTGTTTATATGGTGGAGAGGGTCTGTACCGAGGGGCTCTACTTCCACAGGGAGTGTTTTCGCTGTTCTACCTGCAGCTCTGCCCTGCGACAGGGAGCACATGCCTTTGACTCTGAACAGGGTTCGTATCATTAAATATCAGCTATTGTCCATATATCACTAAAAAAGAACTAAGTTTAATATTTAGGTGGCTACTTTGTCCTGACCTTTGCTGTAATCTTACAGGAAAATTGTACTGTAAACTTCATTTTGATCAACGCAACAATGGGACAACTCTAAGGAGGAATTTGTCCCTACGCTCAGTGAGTGCTTTGCATTTCTAACAATATCTTATTCTAGCAATATTTACAGTAAAATATCTAACTTCTCTATCCATGACTTTCTCTGTCTTAGAATCATTTTGGAGTTCAGGAGCAATGCGCTGATGATGAACAGAGCTCTGAGTCCAGCAGCACAACAGACCTACAGAGTCAACCCTCAGCAGGTACCTTCAGCTCGTTCATAAGGAAACGTCTGAGTTGGCCCCTGAGTGTGACTCGCGCTGTGTGTAACGCCCCATGGTACCTGTCCCACCGTGTGCGTAGTACAGCACAGGCCCTCGCCGGCCACCTGAGGGACAATGCCCAGGATTATGCATCCTTGTATGAGCTACTGAGCATGAGCTTGCCCCTGCTGCTCGTTTTACAAGAGGTACTGCTGCAGATGTACACAGAGGCTGTGCCTGATGGCCCCAGCTCTATACAGCCTGTACTGCTGTGGCTGCAGGAGAATATAGGGCACAGGCTCAGGTAGACGCTCAGCAGACCCCAGCTGTTAATATTTGACTCCAAATGCCATTAAATCTGTGGCTGAGTGGCGCATTAGCTGGATTGTTCTTGTTTTATTATCATATGTAGCCGTGCACAGGCACCTTTTTAATGTTTAATTGCCTTTTATAATGATAGAGATTTGCTCCTGGTGTGTTGCATGTACTTGTGCACCAGCCAACGAAGAGACACTGTAGGTTGCTCATGCAACTTTTTAGCAATTTACTACAGGAGTTGTCAGATAATGAAAGTTGCACCAAATAATTTTGCATTGGGTTTGATGTGGAAACTGTACAGAACTTGTAGGGTTAAAATAAGATTTAAGGTAATTAAAATGCGAATAAAATGAGAGAGGCTACAATCATTAAAGACTTGAGACTGCTGACATGTCCAATCATCATTGCTGTAGAATGCAACCTTTTACAAACTGTCTTGGAAAATGGATCCTGCAGTTAAAATAGCTTAACTCAGGTCATGACTGACTAACTTGATGCACTTTATCTTTTGAGAACTGCCTTCTGGACGTCGCAGTAAACTGTCACCTTAGATCTCATGTTAACGCTGAAACAACAGGCAGGTTTTCTTTTGACTATACATATGTGCTCCTGCTATGTTTTTTTTATTATATATATGCAGGTGTGTTTTACAACAATTTGCTCAGTATCTTTATATACTCAGACCATTCAGTTTACTTTCATAAATTGTTTTTATCATTTTTTTCCCCTATGGATAACACCAAATAATCTCTTTTGATGCTGTGGTCTGGTGGGTTTCCTTCTCAGTATTTAGTTCTACTTTGCTGCCATCTACTGTTGACTCTCAGAAAAACCATGAATGCAAAATAAGATACCCCACCCCTTTATTTTTTAAATCTCTGTGTATAACATTTTCACAGACTTACTGTAGACAATAGAAGCTGGTGAGCATGCTGTGATGTGTTTGAATGTGCTTGCCATTCTCGCCATAAAGCATGTTGTTGGAAGATCAACTGCAAACCTCTTTGACTGGAAGACAAACAGTTGCTTCCTATTCAGATACACTATATGCTATGATGCTTATGAAGCACCTTTTTCAGAGTATTTTGTTTTTTCTTTATAGAATAGTTGAAAGTGATATTTGCAAAAGCACCAGCTGTTATTTTAAGTGTTTACGGCATGATATGCTGGATATGCAATATGATGTTTGTGTTTTGTTATCGGCTACCTAATATTTCATGCTGAATTACTGAATCTTCAGCATGTAATATAAGTTTAATGTCTGGTTTACAGTACAGTAAAAAAAGGGTGGAAGACTTGTGTGTTATAATACCAAAGAACAGTTTTGATACACACTGACTTGTGTAACATTTATTTTCTACATCTGTATAACATGATGAAACTCATTCTGTAACATGTACAATGGTGCCAAAATACAAATATCATCTTCATTATGAATGTGAATGTCAGTATTTAGTTCATAAACATTTTATACATTTGTGCTTTCCTTTGTTGTTATTTATGTCAGAATGTTCTCCGTGTTTCAGAAATTTTTTCTCTTTTCTTCTCATTCAGCTGAAGCCTTTTATGAAGTGTGTGAGCCAACTGGATGGTTAAACGAAATGACATTTTGAAGGTGATCACCTGCATGGCCACATGGTCGTGTGTGATGTGGTACTGACGATAAATAACTGACATAAAGTATCTGATATGACTTAACAACATTTACAGTGCTGAAGTAATTTAAAGATGTTTCTTTTGAAGTGACAATGCGTTTTTACTAAACTTGTGACTAATGAACAGCTTCAGTGTTTGTCACTGATCCTCAAGCTGATTTGGGAATGAACTAGTAACTAACTAAGCCTGGTTCAAGAACTGCATCTCCTCCTATGTTTTTAGTGATTCACTCTGATGATGGTTGAGTTGCATTGTGGTTAACGGAGGCGACATGTTTTGACAAAGAAGAAAAATTTGTAGAATAAAACGGAGATTTCGCTGGTCCAATTTTTATCCTTTTTTCCTTTTTGACTCTCCATCCAATGTTACAGCAGTGCAATGCTAAATCAAGGGAAACCCTGAACATTAGGGTCCAGTGTGTAACATTTAGGAGGATCTATTGGCAAAAATGGAAGATAACATTCATTATAGTCTGCCATGTTGAACCACTATGTTTCTACTGTAGCCCAGAATGGACAAACCAAACGCTGGCTGTATATTGGGCCTTTCATGCTTTTCAAGAGCCACCGGGGTTTCTCCTACACACTTCACAGCTTATTGTAGAATAAGTAAAAAAAAAAAGAGAGGGACAAATCTGTGATTTAATGACAGCCACCAATTGCCCCTCCCTCATTATCATTGAGGAGCCCTGAGCAAGGCCTTCCAAACCTCCAGTGGGACTGCTCATAAACCCATCAGATCAGACTGTTGTTGTACTGGCAGGTGTGAACGTGACTGTGGAAAAGAGAACATTGTTCTTCGTGACACTCCGGTGAATAAATAAACGTTTAAAAAATGTTTTTAATGGCACAGTTACATTTTAATGAAGATCTGAGAATAGCGGCAGAAGAACCAGTTTCCATACAAAGGTTCAACAAAGCACCATTTAGAGAAACTTTCTCTTTCAGTATGTGCATTGACCTCTTTGACTTTATATTTTCATTGCACAACGGGACTAATACCTGGGTAATAAAACACATTATTGGCATTTCTCTGCCTCCTTTTCAGTAACTTAAAATGAAAAAGTACTTTAGTGATGTGTTAGAAACTGTTCAGGAATGCACTTAGAGCTCGCAGGATTGAACATCCATTGACTCTAAAAAAGGTCCTTGACTCTTCAGTAGCATTTTATATTCTTTTGAAATATCTGTACATCCTTTGCTTTGAGAGTTGATGGTTAATTACACTTCAGCTGAAAATATGATGTCCAACATTTGATATTCCCACTGGCATCTGTATTGAACTAAACTAATACTACTATAACTTCTACTACTCCCCCTGATGTTGTTATAATAAATTCTGCTGTTTCTTCATCAGTGTAGAGACATTAGTATTTAGTATATGTGGGTTCATATTTTGAGTCATTTTGACCTGTAATGTTTAATAGAGAACCAAATTTAAACAATTTGCTGTTAAAAAATATATCTATATCTATATCTATATCTTTATATCTACTCAACACTCCATGGCAGTGTCACCACACTGATATTCTGCTGCCTGCCACTGAGGACTGCATCTTTGTGGAGTTTTCTCTCCTGATTGGATAAAGCGGGATACCAGAAAATGTATTCTGTTAATGCAGAAAGGAGGAACTGGGAGACCCATGTTACTGACTGAATGCTCCATATCAGCAATGTCTGTCAGACTGTAGAGCCATGTAATGCTTATTTTAACAAAAAAATAACCTATAATTCCCCTCCATGCTGTGTTCTTTCACAAATACGATGGTGCATCTCCTGAAATTAAATTTAGCTCTTTAAAGAATACTTGTTTTTCAGCCTCTATAAGATTGTTTTATGAACAACAAATGTGGCAGGGGCTCATTTGCCTCCTATTTGATATAAGTAAATATGTGTATAGCACAATGTATCTCTACATGTTAAACTCTGTCTTGTTCCAGTAAGCAAATGTAGAGGCCAACACACCATCAGGGTCTTATATAACAAAGGTGATGAACTACACTAAAATAGTATATTATTAATTCTATTAAATCTATAGACTTCTTTTGATAGATGCAACATACTTAATGCTCACCTGGCAAACACAACATTATATTCATCTTACACACTGAAAACAAACTGAGCAGAAAAGTTCTGATCATTTTGGCCATGTTCATGTTTTTTGCACTTTTTCATGAATTTATAATACTGATAGTATTAGACGTTAGAAAACGCTTTAAAAAACAAACAAACAATAGGGCATAAATTACGAGTGTACCCACTTCTCAAAGCACCACTACACCACTGATTAAATGAGAACAAATAACTTACTTATCCAACACAGTGGCGTGTGTGTGTGTGTGCCAGTAAATAAGAAATGAAAAATCATTCAGAGCAGGCTGAACCTAATAACGAACAGGCCAATAATAATAATAATAATAATACATTTAATTACTAGAGCACTTTTCAAGAAACTCAAAGGCACTTCACATGAGTTAAAAAAGGAACTGTAATAATACAGTAAGCCTCAATGAGTTTTGCAGGAATATTTCTGTAATTACTTGCTGATACTCTGAGGGAGATGTTTGAATTTATAATACTGATAGTATTAGACGTTAGGCCATGGTCAGGTGGAATTCATTGCCAGTGCATATTGTTAAAGAGAATACTAAAGATCGGTTCAAAAGTTAGTTAAAACAGTATCTGTAACTATTAAGGAACCATAACTGAATTGTGTTTGTGTATAAAATAAATAATTAAATGGAACCTTTGTGAAAGTAGAAATCCCCTTTAGCAGAGAATGTGAAATGTATTTTAACACCCTATTAATTAAATGTGTAAAAACACAGAAAGGGTAAATAGATGATTTAAGAATGTATGTATATGTTGTTACTGAACCTAAAACCCTTGTTGACCAAAACAACTGTTTTGTTTAAATAGAAAACTATAATCTACAGTGCAATTATATTCACTTAGGGCTAAAACCAATTATTCAATACAGTTTGTTTGTATATCCAACTGTTTTTTGCTGGTTAATTGAGTTATTTCTACAGTGTAATCTTTAAAAGAAAATGTCTGATAACTGAGCTTTATCAACACAAGCCTCTCTCTCAATCCAATGTTCATAGCTACAACCTAGAAACTTAAGTGTTGTGTTACATTTCCACTGAGATCTGAGAGCAGCAGTGAGGAACCGTTGATCCTTTCTGTCCAAAGGTTCATGAAAGCCCCATTTAGCTCATGAATATTCTCAGAGGTAGAATGCCTTTCAGTGAGCAGACATTGACCTCTGTATCTCTGTGTTATACCTTTTATATATCTGGTCAATAAAGTGCGTAATAAAATAGAATTCACCTGTGTGTAAGAGACTGTTGAGGAATGCACTTAGAGCTCAACACCTCCATTGACTTGAAAAAAAAAATTACTGTTGGAATAAATGTACTTCAGAGTGTGAACTAAAAAAGTCCTTGACTCTAGAAAGCCAGTTCATATTCTGAATGAAAATATTTATCGGCTAACTTGGTTAATTAAACTTTCAAGTTTTAAGAACCAAACAGACCAAAAGCCCTGTTTGAATTGAAGAAGAGGAGATATAGTCAGGTAGTACTGAGTGAATGTTACTGCCCTCAACTTATTCCCTTATTCAAGGGAAAAATCAAGTTCTCCAATTGTTCGTAAGCATGAATAATATAGCGGTGTAGTGCAGGGTATACGCAGGTATACAGCGTATACAGACCTATTTTTCAGTCAGCACTGTAACCCCACTTCTAAATCCCCTCTGATGGCATCATTCAGTACTGTTCTGCGAGCTGGGATGGTGAAGGCATGACATAGTTGTCCAATTTTCATGAGTGGATGGAGTAAAGAATAAAAAATACGTCACTCAAAATACATAGATATGTAGATGTCTCACCCATCTATGGGCCAGTATTGATTACAAAATCTGCACCTCTTCTGTGGCTTATGCAGAAGTTATGTGACTTACTGCAAATACTACTGTTACTCTATAAAAGGGCGTTTATCGTTTACTGGACGTGCCAGTGCCGCTTTAAAAAACAAACAAACAATAGGGCATAAATTACGAGTGTACCCACTTCTCAAAGCACCACTACACCACTGATTAAATGGGAACAAATAACTTACTTATCCAACACAGTGGCGTGTGTGTGTGTGCCAGTAAATAAGAAATGAAAAATCATTCAGAGCAGGTTGAACCTAATAACGAACAGGCCAATAATAATAATAATAATAATACATTTAATTAATAGAGCACTTTTCAAGAAACTCAAAGGCACTTCACATGAGTTAAAAAGGAACTGTAATAATACAGTAAGCCTCAATGAGTTTTGTCATTAGCAGGAATATTTCTGTAATTACTTGCTGATACTCTGAGGGAGATGTTTGAAGGAGCTCACCCTCGACACTTAAGAGAAAATCTGATCTGTCATCACATCAAACCTACAAAAACAGCCTTTGAAAAAGTCTCTTAATCCACTGTAAAAGAAATACATGAAATGGAGATGTTGACTTTTTCTCTAAAATTGAACCATAATAAAGCCCAGAGGTAATGGTTGAAATGGCTTTTGTATATAAATGAGAAAACCGAATAGAGCAGCTCCTTTCTTTTTCATTTTGTTTATCCTCGGCAGTATGACTGATGCTTTGTTGGACTTGCCCTGGAGAGACTCCCTTGTCTGGCCGGCTGGCTTTTGCCTGCCTTTTGCCTGCCTTCCTCTAATCCCCTCCCTCTTCATCTCTCACCTATGGATTTTTGTAACTCTTTAGTACAAGGAGTAATACTATGTATGTTTCTTTTCTTTCTGGAACAACATATATATTTCCC